CCCGAATCCGAATCCGAATTAATGGGGGATTGGCACCCTATATCGTATACGTACATAAGCTAGAGGAAGCACTGCTAACCGGCCGAAGGGCTGTGTTATTCAGACCGAATACGATTAACCAGTGCACAGCAGCTAGTTATAAAGTAATGAAGGGGGTACGATTACTCGCGCCAGTAATACAACAGTTCAGGCGGGACCTGTCAAGTTGTAGCTCAGGGGTTTTTGGTTAGATTAGTGTAGCTTTATTTAGCTTCGGGTACGACTCTTGGGGTTGAGATGCTGTGCTGCCGGCCTAGCAGCGTGTAGCTTGAAAAATTGTCAACAACATCGCACATACATCAGCCGCTGTGGTTGCTTTTGTTTGGCCACTAGGGTGTGTAGTTTAGTAGCTGTGATTTCCCCGAAATGTAATCCAAACACTGATCAGTTCGATACTGCACAGCAAGGGATTTCGGAGGTTGGCGAGAACATGTGAAACCATGCACTCTCTCTCTCTCTCTCGCTCTCTCTCCCTCTCTCTCTCCCTCTTGCTGCAGGTTGAGCTCCCAGGCTTGCAGCAGTGCAACGATGCGATGACATCCAGAGGCCCCGACCTCAAAATTAAGTGATCTATGATTTAGCCGTACTAGTACTCGCGCCCGGCAGTGCATCCCCGCTCCCGGTCCCAAGCCGGGTTTAAGGCTAAGGTTTTTGGTTTCATTATTAAACGTGGGGGGCCATACATATTATATATGTACTGGGTTTTAAATGAAAGTAGCAGGGAAGGGTTTAGGGCTAATTACGTGCTTAAGTAGCTAAATTTAGAAAGCTTTAGTCAAGCGGCCAATCCAAAATCCGGGTGATTGCATAGTCGAATCATCCATCCGTCATCAGCCCTCAAAGGAGTCCTCGTGTCACTTAACCAGGTAGCTAGGGCTAAGTGCAGCAGAGATACGAATAAAATCCAAGTCACAGTCCATCCTGCCGCATATCGTGCGGCATTCCAGCACTGCTTCCATGAGCCGTACTTACGAATCTTGATACGCGCACCATCAGAACCTTCATCAATCATACGAAGCTTGCGTTTCCGCGGCGGGACAATCTTCGACATGTTGGTGTGTTCTGCAGCGGAACGGTTCGACTTTGGAAACTGAACTGATCGACCAGGGGACATTGATGGAGACTGTCGGCCAAGGAACGATGACACATTTGAGCTCTCATGATCAAAGGCGAAATCAGCGGAATCCGGGTCACTGACCGCGGTAACACCTGATACCAAAGCTGCACGTCGATCATGTTCTTGGTCCGACACTGCAAAGTCTGACGAGAAGTCGGACGAGTGCACGTCCGATACAGAGACAGCATCGCTCTCAAAGCTGGACACCGACATAATTTGAAGCTACCTGTACGTTACAAGTCTTTTTAGACCTGGAGAGTGCCTTGAGGACATGAATCAAAACAGTGTCTGCAAATATTCACAACACATGCTGCCAGCAGATCACTTGCATAACCCTTGCACATCCCTTGCACATCACTTGCGCGTTCCTTGCACATCCCTTGCAATACACTTGCAGCAGCACTGGCAAACAGACTCTTCTTTGCAACTGCAGAAAGTCTACGAAACTGCAGAGTCTATGCGTTCCAACATAGGCGAACCACACTCATGTCAGAGAGTCTACGCATTCCAACATAAGCAAACCGCACTCATGTCGCAAATCTGCAGAGTCTACGCATTCCAACATCGGCGAACCGCACTCATGTCACGAAACTGCAGAATCTATGCATTCCAACATCGGCGAACCGCACTCATGTCACGAAACTGCAGAGTCTACTCATTCCAACATAGGCGAACCACACTCATGTCAGAGAGTCTACGCCCTACGCATTCCAACATAGGCAAACCACACTCATGTCACCAGTCTGCAGAGACTACGCATTCCAACATCGGCGAACCGCACTCATGTCACGAAACTGCAGAGTCTACGCATTCCAACATCGGCAAACCGCACTCATGTGTCACGAAACTGCAGAGTCTACGCATTCCAGCATAGGCGAACCGCACTGATGACACGAAACTGAAGTCTACGCATTCCAACATTGGCGAGCCGCACTCATGTCACGAAACTGCAGAGTCTGAGACGCTTGTAGAGCCAATATACAGCATCGTGCTGGGCTTTCTTATTGTTCAAAACCGAGGATGCAAAGCAATTGGGCATCCACCATCACTCTACAGAAAGTCCATGCACAGGAGACTGCAATCAATGACCTCGTCTGCCATTACAAAACGAGTATGCGCTCACACTTGCTGCACGGCAAACCTGCACTGCTGGACTCTCCGTTATGTCATTCAATCGGATAGGGCTGCATGGCAGGAATACTCTCAGCAATCATTTCCAGCAGCGTCTCAAAGCAGAAAGTCTACGAAACTGCAGAGTCTATGCGTTCCAACATAGGCGAACCACACTCATGTCAGAGAGTCTACGCATTCCAACATAAGCAAACCGCACTCATGTCGCAAATCTGCAGAGTCTACGCATTCCAACATAGGCGAACTGCACCGATGACACGAAACTGAAGTCTACGCATTCCAACATAGGCGAGCCGCACTCCTGTCACGAAACTGCAGAGTCTACACATTCCAACATATGCAAACCGCACTCATGTCACGAAACTGCAGAGTCTACGCATTCCAACATATGCAAACCGCACTCATGTCGCGAAACTGCAGTCTACGAGTCGCACAAGCAAGCAAAAACATGTACTGAACCAATCACTCCAGCGTGGTCCGACACTGCAAAGTCTGACGAAAAGTCGGACGAGTGCACGTCGGATACAGAGGCAGCATCGCTCTCAAAACTGGACACCGACATAATTTGAAGCTACCTGTACGTTACAAGTCTTTTTAGAACTGCAGAGTGCCTTGAGGACATGAATCAAAACAATGTCTGCAAATATTCACAACACATGCTGCCGGCAGATCACTTGCATCACCCTTGCACATCCCTTGCGCATCATTTGCACGTCCCTTGCACATCCCTTGCAATACACTTGCATTGAAGTACATGCAACACTGAGTTGCAGTTTGGTACGCGGGCGCAGAGCAGTAAACATGGGATACAATGCGACCCAATTGAAGTTGGCTGAGTACACTTGAATCAGCTTCCCTTCTTCATCACGCACTTCCAACCCACGAAGTTCAGGAATCACGAAGAAGTTTGAATCTTGTTCCCACTCTACTTCCACATGACCTCTGAGAAGAGCTCGATTCCCAAGATGCTCTGAGAAACAACAGTCTGCTGAATGTCGAGCAAATTGTTGAGGCCGGCATACATCGGACATGAGTCAAGTTTGCCGACATGATTGCTGAGTATTCGGCAAAATCGGCCACCGAACGAAACGACAGACGGAAACCTGCGCCATCTGCATGAAGAGTGATGGCTGGTGGAACCTCTTGCTGTGGGACAGGTCGATCACTTACAGCACGTGCAGCAATCGAGGTAGGAGCTACATCTGCTGTTCCCAAACCAACATTTGCATGCAGAAGAGATCGGCAAAGATGACGGAGCTGGCGTCGGGCAAACTGCAGGAGTGGGGGGTGGGGGAGGGAAGGCGGGAGGGGGAAGTGGAGGGGGGGGTGGAATCCACTTCGGCGTGGTGCCACGAGAGGGGGGAGGGGCAGTGGGGAGGGGAGGGGGGGGCAAAGGGGGGAGGGGAGAGGAGGAGGGTGGAGGGAGAGGTGGGGGAGGAGGGGGGGGAAGAGATGTCCCGGTACTGCGTCTTTTTCCTGAGGTATCCATGGCAAACTGATCAGCAACTACCAAGAGTACAGCTCATGTACTCAACTTGCAGCCGAAGACCTGCGACAAGTCAGCGGTGAAGTCAGGTTCGGGAAAGTCAATCAGATCATAAGAAAGTCAGTGGGAAAGTCAGCGTTCAGGTTTCGGAGAAGGCATTTGGGAAAGACTCACTGAGAAAGTCAGCTTGCAAGCATGGATATAAAGTCAAGGAAAGTCATCCAATGCTTATGCAGTCAATCGGGAAAGTCAGCGCCAGAGCTACCTCTGGGAGACACGGCGCCCATAGGGAATGCCGTTGTGAAGCACACTTGACACATCGTGTCGCAGGTCTGATCTGTCGGTGCATACTGTCAGGGAAAGTCAGAAGCTGTCAGGGAAAGTCAGAAGCTGTCAGGGAAAGTCAGAACATGCAATCAGAAGCACTACCATAGGGTAAACGCGAATCACTCATGTAACTGCACATGAAACTGCACATGAAACTGCACTGCACTCCTACCCGCAATCAACAGTTGTGTAGTCGCAAGCTGCACAAATGTGCCCATGCCGACCACTGCAGGTACGTTTACCTGTCTCAATATCACGGAGCTTCATTGGCAGAGGCCGTGAAATGAGACCCTCTGCCCCCTGCTGCTTAACTCACTCACGTCTCTTGGAAACAGAGTTGGACACACACACACACACAAACACACAAACACACACACACACACACACACACACACACAAACACACACACACACACACACACACACACACACACACACACACACACACACACACACACACACACACACACACACACACACACACACACACACACACACACACACACACACACACACACACACCCCACACACACACACACACACACACACACACACACACACACACACACACACACACACACACACACACACACACACACACACACACACACACACACACACACACACACACACACACACACACACACACACACACACACACTCGCAAGCTTTTCACTACATCACATGTTGCATTGTTAGCCGTAGTGCATTACTGCCGTTTGGGAGAGCTAATTGTGGTCTTGTGAACAGTTTTTCGAGGCAAGAAATTCGGGGGCGTTGCTAGGGGGCGACACTGAGAAGGAGGCAGTTTTTCTAAAGCCAATTGTGAGAGAAGACAGACTGTGACGTCTTGCCTCATGGGGTGCAGGGGCTCTCTAGCTCTGTGCGGCTTCGCCGTGAGGTCGGCTGGCTTTGGCCAAGAAACTGTTGGACGAAGCACAGCGAAGCGAAGGTGGCTACAAACTTGATTTTGCCAACATATCCAACTTGGTTCTTGAGGCTTCACGGTCAGCGCCACTATCTTTGGTGCAGTGCTGGCAGGATGTACTTGGGCCACTGGGCACGTTGGAGGCGTAGCTGACGGCAACAAGGGGTCCGCCTTTCGAAGCTTCAGGTGACGGCTTCTGCACTGCTCCAGTCAGCGACGGCTGCTGCAGTGGAGGCAGATGCTGCATTGGCAAATGCTGCAGCCAGTGCCGTGGCTTCTTCTCTAGCATGCGTTGTTTGAGTCTCTACAACGGGTATCTCTCAATCTTTGTTCTAAGGCACTTGCGAGCAACATGGCGCCTGGCAGACAGCCACGCGTTTGCTCCCATTCCTGGGACAAGCCGTCGACAGCCTAACAATAGGTGCCTTGGCCTGACATGCAGGATGAAAGGAGCTGTGGAGCCACGCTTGTAGAAGGCGCCGCAACTGCAGCTTGTGCAGTGGCGGGTGCCTGGGTCACGGCCTTGGGGCTGCTGCTTTACGGCAGCTGGAGGCGAACTCACATGCACGAGCACATGCGAACCGAAGCCCCGAAGCCCCCTTCTGCAAATACTCCGTCGGAGGGCGCTTCCGTCCGGGCCTGTTGCTCGAGCTGCGGCCGCGGCGGCGGCACGACAAGCGGGCCGCTGGCGCCAGGTCAGGGCAGTGCAGGTGGGAGCGCACCTAAGAGACGTTTGGTCTCTCCAAGGTGGTTGCCCTGCTCACATGGTGCGGAACCGACCAGGAAGCTGTGATAGAGTGTGACCCGGAATGCCAGAGCATTACTAGAGCAGTGCCGTGAGAGGACCTTCGTCTGGACATCCCCGGAGCAATTCTGGCTGCAAGCTGCCTCGAGGCTCGCAGCGTAAGCTTGTTCTGCGTCTGCTGGACAGCCTGCGAATCGGCTTTGTCGTGTGAGAGCTTTAAAATCACGGGAAGAAGCCAGCATTGCATGTATGAGCACCCTTTGCTTCAATCCATGCGTCCACCGCCTTGACTTGCTACCGGACACGTCTCGGGTTGTTTGGGGGCCTACCCTGAACCGCATTGAAATTCCGGAGCCCGAAACATGCAGGGAAGTGGAGTGTGGTGGGCCGACAGGGGATGTGAGTTCAGGGGTCAGGGTTTAGGGGTTTAGGGTTTTATGAAGCGGTCATCGGACGATCCAGGCGAGCCTGACGCAGGGATCCTTGCTCCAGATACAACACAGGGACGAACTAATTATGAATTACAAGCCAGTCTACGTCGAGTGTAATACCGAGCCCACGTGACTTTGGGACAAGCAAACATTAACGGGCACTCCACAGGCTCCCGGGGAGGCTCGAAGGAGATGGCCACCGCCCGGCTGTACCGTCTGTGTACCCAAAAGATTTCAGAGAGTTTACTCACGTCCGCGCGAACTGTACATGGCGGCTTTGGGGGTTTTAGGGTTTTGGGGTTCAGGTTTAGAGCTCAGGGGTCAGAGTTTAGTGTTTAGGGCTTTAGGGGTTTAGGGGTCTAGGGTTTTGGGGTTCAGGTTTAGAGTTCAGCAGTCAGGATTTAGGGCTTTAGGAGTTTTGAGGTCCAGGGTTTTGGGGTTCAGGTTTAGAGTTCAGCGGTCAGGGTTTAGGGCTTTAGGAGTTTTGGGGTCCAGGGTTTTGGGGTTCAGGTTTAGAGTAGGGCTTTAGGAGTTTTGGGGTCCAGGGTTTTGGGGTTCAGGTTCAGAGTTCAGGGTTAGGGTTTAGGGGTCTTAGGTGTTTAGGGGTCTGGGGGTTTGGGGTTCAGGTTTAGAGGTCAGGGTTTAGGGGTCTGGGATTTTGGGGTTTTGGGGTTCAGGTTTAGAGTTCAGGGGTCAGGGTTTAGGGCTTTAGGAGTTTTGGGGTCCAGGGTTTTGGGGTTCAGGTTCAGAGTTCAGGGTTAGGGTTTAGGGGTCTTAGGTGTTTAGGGGTCTGGGGGTTTGAGGTTCAGGTTTAGAGGTCAGGGTTTAGGGGTTTAGAGTTTTAGGGGTTTAGGGGTCTGGGGTTTTGGGGTTCAGGTTTAGAGTTCAGGGTTTAGGGCTTTAGGAGTTTTGGGGTCCAGTTTTGGGGTTCAGGTTCAGAGTTCAGGGTTAGGGTTTAGGGGTCTTAGGTGTTTAAGGGTCTGGGGGTTTGGGGTTTAGGTTTAGAGTTCAGGGTCAGGGTTTAAGGGTTTAGGGTTCTAGGGGTTTAGGGGTCCAGGGTTTTGGGGTTCAGGTTTTCTGGTCGGGTGTGAAATGGTGGTGGCAGTACTAATGCGAGGCTGCCAGGCCGAGTTCTCGTGATTCTCGTACGAGCAGCAGGACGGTAGGAGCTCTTGTAGCCGTAGCGGTAGTTGTATTTGCAAAATCAGCAGCCGACGAACTGATTCAGCACAAGCTCGGTTCTGGAGGCGTTCCCCAAAACAAAAACCAAGCTCACCCATCTCCCCCAAGCTAAAACCCCAGATTCCATCCGTGCGGCCAGACAGCGATCCTTTGGAATGTAAAGCCATCCACAATCCCAATAAGATCCAGCCAGCAACCTTGGCGTAAACAGCGACAAACAAGCAGGAACTTCTAAAACGCGTGCGAAGCTGGATTTTTTTGCTTTCCCAGACGGCAATTCTCAGAAAAGACGATGAGGATTCATCAGACCAAAACCCGTATTCTCAGCCTGGGGTCTGGGTGGGTGTCAGAGCGAGGCGGAGGGTGAGGCGATTTCACCGTCACCAAAATCTCGGAAGCGGAGTTGAGGGGATGTAAATATAAGCATGAAATCTCGATGCCGAATCCTCCGCGGAAGTGTAGGCCAGTGATATGTACTAGTATACATAGGAGGCTATGTCAGCCAGACGTTAGTGTTTCGGCAGGTGCAAAGCCCAGGGGCAGCGCTGCACAGGCCACGGCCGCGGCGACCAAGTTTTTGCTTTCGCCCAACTTCGTTTCACATGTTGCCGGTTGCTGCTATGTGTGCGCAGTGCGAAGCTTGCAGTCGCAGGCTTTATGAGGAGGTCTCCAGCTCCGCTTTTCTGCTGCTGTCTGAGCGACGCGAGCTCTGACCGCCATGGCACCTTTTGCGTCTCTAGTTTGAGAAGTTTTTCTGAGTGCCAGCAGCAATGTGACGTGTCGTCGCAATGTGACAAAAAGCGAGCATTCAGGAGCCGCATGCTGCATTTGCTTCCAGCTCCGATCGTTGCTTTTGACAAAACAGCGTGATTGGCACTGGCTGCACATGTGAGGCCTACAGCGAGGCCGTGGCCAACTCAGAGGACTCCGTGACAGGTGGGTCACGCGCCCATGCAACAAGCATTTGTGAAATGTCTTGGGTCACGCTGGACGCCTCTCGCGGTCCATGCAGGCAGCGATGACATTGGCTTGGCCGAGACACCATCTTCAGTCTACGCCTGGACCTTAGAGAGGGAGAGGTGCAGGCTTGAGCAGAAAGGCTGGTGAGGTGCGCAAATGAGCAATTCAGTTTAAGCTTCAGGTGCTCGGTTCTTGGAAGAGACATAAGGTCATGGAGCACGGTTTCCTGACCAACTCCATAAAGTGGATGCCGGAGCAGCCCTCAGCCAACTCTCGAGAGATTTTGAGGCATCTCGATCTAGTGGAAACGTACTGGAAGATGAAGTGAGAACGAAAAACCTCAAGCCCTCTCCATTCTAGCACGAGCCCCTAGCCCCTTCTTCTCCAGCTGTTTTTCGCCCTCTTGCTCGCAGCGCGGCACTATCATGCTTTCCGGGCACGGGGCCGGCTACGAAGCGCGGCTTAGCGACGCCAAGGCGCCCGGGCAGAGGTCCTGCAGCGGGTGGGGAGGCGCTTCAGGATGCTTCAAGGGAGCAGGGACAGCTTTTCATAGGAGGCCGTACCGGCACGAATGGAGGACTCTCGTAGTATGCATAGTTCACCAATTTCGCTCTATGCCCATGTGGCAATGCAGCCAGCTCCAGCTGGAGCTGGGCAGTGCTTGGGTGTCCCGTGCATCGGCGGGCTTGCAAGGAGTTCAAGCAGCTGAAAACAGAGCAGCTTCAGCAGCTCATCTCCGAGGCGAGATGCTGCTACGGGAATCGTCGAAGTGTTTCGACCATCGCGTTGCCACGTTGCCGTCAGGCGGCGAAGGAACACCAGTACTATGCCATTCGCATGTGCGCCGCGACAGTGACAGTGTTCTTGGCTGTCAAGCATCCAGCCCCAAGCCCACGGCCACGACTCTCTGCGACGTGCTGTGCAAGTTCTCCGGCCCTTATCTGCTGTCGACGGAAGGTACAACCCAGAGAACCCCAAGAGAGTTCTGCAGGCCGTGCTTGGTAGCAGTCCAGCACCGCATGTCCCGGCAGCAGCCGCGAAGCTCCCACAGGCCTCCATTCCCGCGAAGCTCCTGGCGGAGCACTTCGAGGATTGGCACGACATCCTCGAGGCTCGCAGATACGAGAACTGCCACAGTTATTTGCGCTCCTTGGAAGAGGTCTCTGTGAGCGACGCTGGCATCCCAGTAGGCGCGGAGGATAGAGTCAAGGCCTTTCTTGATGCTGTTCTTTCGACCTCTCCAGGCCTCTCATACAGAGTACGCCACACTCTGGGCTTGATGCTCTTCGACCATACTCAGGTGCAGTGCGCTGCTTTGGAATGCTGTCGTGTTACTTGGAGTTGGTTTCCGCCACATGTGCTTCCCCACCTAGTCTGTACAGGAACCTCTAGGCAACTGTGGGTTCAAGACTTTCTCCATTTCTGTAGGCAAGGGATTGCCTGAAGCCATGCAGGATAAGCTGTGTAGCTCAGACGCCCAGTTAGTTGCCGCGGCAGGGCCAGCTACAGGAAGGCATCTTAAGCCGAGTGGAGGAGCATGTGAACTTTGCGGGTAGGTCTAGCCCCAATGAAGCAATCAAACTCGGTGTATCTTCATGTATGTCTCAGCCGCGCTCCTGAATACTCGAGCTAACTGCAGTGGGTGCTACGGCTGCTCGCGTCCTTGTTGCTGTTGTCTCTGAAGGATGTCTGTGATGTACATGAGAAGCGGCACTCGATACATGTCGGTGTAATTCGGTGTAGTCTAATACTAGGAGCCAGGTTTCCCGTCGTCGACTGATCGAGAAGGTACTTAGTCTTGACTCCCTAGTTTGACAATTCGTATAGGCCACAGACTGACTCCAGTTTGAGGTGCATCTCTCGGAGCCTAGCCGGCTGGAGGGACCCAGGGTGCCGCCGCCTGTGAGGCACAGGGAAGCTCCGAAAGTGTGTGGCTGAAGCGAATGCTCGTGCTTGTCTTTGTCATTCGTTGGTCGGAGCATGTGCTGGCTCTGAAGGGATGGCGATGGCAACATCAAGCCTGGTGGTGGGGAGCAGCAGCAGCCTTCCTTCCTGCGCAAGTGCGGCCCCTGCAATTGCATGATGCTGCGCAGACGTTTTGTTTTCTCTTGTGTTTCGCAACGAGCCTTCCTGCCACTCGTGAATGAGCTTGAGACTTCGAGGTACTGGTGGGTCATCGCGATCGCGAGGAACTCGGCTAGGTTGTGCAGTCGCAGGCGAAATACAACACTCACTGGCAGTCGCCGGAGGCAAATGTTTGTTCTGCAGAGTTGTTTTGGCTAAGAGCGTCCAGCGAGGCTTTTCTGATGACTGCAGTGCTTGAAGGCGTGTGTTCCGAAAGCCATGGTGGTCTAAGGCCGTCCTGCTCATGTCCAGCATGGGAGATGACGGCTCTGGTGGCAAGGCAGAACAACGCGCATAGAAGCACTGCATTTTCATGTGCTGCTTGTGGCAATGGAGAACTTTTCTTTCTGCCTGTGCAAATGCTATCCACCATCACACATCTTTGCCTGAGCAGGGCAAGGGTGGCGGTGGCGGCGGTGGCGGAGGCGGCGGCGGAGGTGGTGGTCGCCGTGGCTGAGATGAGATGCAGGTTAGATGCATTGAGTTTCATACGAGCTTGTTCAGCAAGAGCTGACCGGCTCACCATACAGACTGTCTGCACGTGATGTTGGCTCCGCACGCAGATTTTGCGCAGACTGTCTGACAGCGACTTCGCACAGCCACAGCGCCCGAATCCGGGGCGTCCCGGGAGCATCCCGCCGCGGGAGGAGTGCAGCACAAGCGGCGCCCTGCTAAGCTTCCGGCAAACATAGGAGCTTACAGCCAGACTCCGTTGATGCGGTAAGAAATTCATGCAACCCGGTCTTGTTTGTCCTTTAAGATGTGTCTCCGACTTGATGCTGCAACTCCCGAGCTGCGTTGCACGAACATCGAACCTTGCAGCATACCCAAGAAAAGGGTTCCTGAGCCTTGCCAAGTGCAAGTGATGACAGTGAAATGCTGGCTCAAGAATGAGAGCAGAATTTTTTTCTTGTGTTATGTTTCTTCGGCTCGAGCCTTGATAGACTGGTCATGTCAAGGCTCCATCAATCCTCCACATCCGAGAGCCGAGACAGCATGTCCAGAAGCCCTCCTCAGCACGCTCCGACTTCACAAGCAGCTGACCAGAAAGACACGTACAGCAGCAAATTGCAGCCCTTCATCAGACCCTTTCCCCCGCAGCCCTTCCATGGCTCTTTTCGACACAGATGGCAGGCTGGAGTAAATCATCTTTCAGGCTGCTTTTGCAAAGTTGGCTTGCCACAGTCCTGCCGTCGTGGGCCAGAGTGTGGGGTGCTGGCTGGATTGCACGACCCTCAGCTGTGGCACGGTTTCTCCGATCTTCAAGTCGCAGGAGCGCCCATGTCTGCCGCTGAGGTTCAGACTTTGTCTTCGGAGGCCAAGACCACGAGGTGCGGTGTTGTGTGCAAGAAACAAGATACAGCATGAAACAGTGGTCGGTCAAGCCCAAGATGGGTTGCAACAGGAAGATGACATCATGGAAGTGGGCCCGCATACATTCCCTCGGGATTGGCAGGATGCTCAGAGTGGATGATAGTGGATGCCATCTCAAACTGGTGTCAAGCCTTGTTCGGATGACTACAGAAACCCGGAGGCCCGATGTCTACTCGGAAAGCGATGCCCTGCGGGCGCTTCTGCGACGCCGCGGGCCTTGCGCCTCGAAGCGTGCCGCTGGGCCGGCAGGGTCTTGGAAGGTCTTCGGATTGCATGTTCATGACCCATGTCCGCTCCGCCGCGCCGATCGTTTTGAGCCGTTTTTCAGTCTTCTGCTCTGCGAAGCAGCACTAACCGGCCACATTCTGATGAGCCGCAGAGGGTTCAATGCAGAAGTTGGTTCCTGGAGAATCCTCGCTGATGCAAGCGGAGGTTTTCAAAGGGGTTCGAACAACAGCAAAATTCCAGAAAGGCTTCCACGACACCGCCTTTCAGTACCTTGACACTACGGCATTACCCTGTGTAGACATGTGTCTCGCGCACGGCAGTCGCAATTGAATGAGTTAGGTTACCTCGTTCTTGATGTGAGGTAAGCGTTGTCCCACTGATGTGAGGTAAGCGTTGTCCCACTGATGTGAGGTAAGCGTTGTCCCACTGCCAGAGGAGGTGCCGCCTGCCAGTCTAGATTTGTATGACTGCGTGGCGAGCTTGATTGCTCGTTCTTGCACGGCCTTCGTCAAGGGCAACTTTGACTTCGGCCTGATGTGCTATTTGAGGTTCGTCCTCGTTCGCCAGGAGCATCTCTGCTGGGCAGATGGCCTGGAAGTGTGGCCGTTGCAGAGCCGACGCAATGCCGAGGTGTCGACTCTGGGCTTTCTGCAGAGCTGACAGTCCTTCGAGCCAGGCCGCTGCTGCTCATGCTGGCCTGGCACTGGTGGAAGGTGTGCCGGGGGGGCAGGAAGAGCGCTCAGCCATGTGTGCTTCTCGAAGGCTGGGCCATCTATGATCTCCTTGATGATGTGACTGGTGCAGCTTTTGTAGCGGAGAGGTACCCACGGGCCCCATTTTTTGGAAGTCGTTTCTTGTGTTTAGTTCGCGAGGTATTGGTGGAATGCCACGGAGGATGGAACTTGGGTGGATTTCAGCCCAAGGCCTGAGAGACTCAGCTGCCATCTACTTGTAGCTTGCGTGCGTGGGGGAAATGCGATGGAGGAAGGAGGAGGGGTCTCATCTTTGCTCTGTCCGAGTGTTGCATTTGAGTGCCGAGGAACATGGAGCAACTGCTGCTGGCCCACTGCTCAAGTCCTGCGGGGAGCCTCTGCGGAGCCCTGAGCCGAGACGTGCCACAAAGGCTGAGGCCTTGGCACCGGCCGAAGCTCGCGAAGCTCGAGAGGCCGTGCTGAGCCGTGCGTCGTCGGCTGCGTCAGTTTCAGTCCGGTCTCGAGACCGGGTCTCGCCGGGGAGGCGACCGTCCTGACGGCGGAAGCACAGGTCGCCGCCCCCGAGATGGGAACGTGTCGACTCGTCGACGCTCTTAGCTTCGGCCTTCTTCCAGGACTTGGCCGAACATCTGGCGAAGCTCCGCTTTCCGAAGGCCAAGTCCCCAAATGCAATCGGAGCAGCGGCAGCTGGGTTTTTCTTTCGGAGAAGGCCTGCAGAGGGAAAGAGAAGGCAGAAACTTCTGTGAAGCGGGCAACTCCTGCCCAAGGCCATGACGACACTAAGCACCGCCCCGCCGAAACCGAGGGCCAAGTAAATGCCAAGCAAGTGCCTTCAAAAGAAAGGTGCTGCCAAAGCCACTATCAAGACCAGGCAAATCTAAAGAGAAGCCCATCGCGGCCAGACTCACCAGTCGGAACCTAGACTGCATCAAAAGCAAGGCTCTTCGATGTTGTCGAGAAGTATTGTCATTTACAGTATTGCCGGCCGCGCATCGGACATGCGGCCAGCCTTGGAGAACGGGGTGACACCATCTGTTACCAGTACTGGCATTCTACTATTTAGCCGAAGAAAAAGATGTTTTGCAGCCACTGACGTGTGGCTTTAACTCGCAACCTTAGGAGGTCCACTGTATTATGTATGCTTTGAACACACGATTCAACGATCGTAGTGGCCATCAACGTGCTGAATTTGTACACCTCATGTGCTAGGCGCGGCGTGCGGGTCGGCGCTCGTGGCGCGTGGCGGCACCGGAGCCAGGCACGGGCGCTCTCGTTGGACCTTGATCGAAATGTCTTCAAGTGGCAGTCTTTGAAGGCTCGCCGGCAAAGCCTCCCTCCGTTGGTGCTGGGATGCCGACTGCCCATGACGCACAGGCTATCCTTGCACAATGCGGTCCAAGACTACTCTAAGTCGTTCAGGACGATGAAGCCATAAAGGTTCTGCAGTACCACCACTGCTACCACTGCCACCATTGCCACCACTGCCACACTGCCACCACTGCCACTGCTGCCACCACAGCCACACCAAGCCAGCAACTGCTGCTGCTACTACAGTACTACAGTACTACAGTACTACAGTACTACTACTACTACTACTACTACTACTACTACTACTACTACTACTACTACTACTACTACTACTACTAGCCACCCCCCCCCTCCCAACTACACTTGTTCCATCCGGGCTGGGCAGCGGTAGCTGCTAGGCGCCTTAACAGCGATAGTTGCAGAAGATGCACGGGCTCAGGCTCCTTATCTGTGACAGCTGCAGAAGTTGCAGAGGCTCAGTTTCCTTAACTGTCACAGCCGATGAAGTTGCAGGGGCTCAGGCCCCACAACTGCGACAGCAGCTGGAGTTGCAAGCTCGACGGGGAAGAAACTGATAAACCCCGGGTGGTCGGACAGTACGAAAACGCTATAAATACGTGCCAAACCCAGGTGCTGCCAAGAAGGGTTTAACATTTCTCAAACCTGAAGCACAACATCTTCCAAGCATCAAAAACAAAGATGCCAGCTGTACGTGGGAGGGGCTTGCCAACACCCCTACCGCCCAACCTCTGCGTAGGACGGTCTGTTTTTGAAGTGCTGTGTGTGGTGTGTGTGCGCTTGAGTGTGGAAATATTGTTCAGGGTGTCCGCAAAACAGTGTCGTGATCATCCCCAAGAAGCTTTCCCCCACCCAATTTCGAGTTTTTTTGCAAACAGTTCCAAACAGCAAAGTTTAATACGCACAGTCGAGAAGTAGGGGCTCAGAATATGTAACAAAGTCTGACATCACGAAAGTAACGTAAATACCGAGTTAAACGGCTCTCGTGGTGATAATGCTGGGTGTGTTCGTGTAACACTGTCGTCATCATCCCCCCCCACCCCCCCCACCCACCCCCAGAAGCAAGTCCAAAATCAAGAGCCCGAGTTTGCAAACTCGACAAGTCGATTTTTGAGCCTCTTAGGATGATCGCACATGACGAAAGTGCCGTACATACCGAGTAAAATGGATGTTGTCTTAACATGGTTGAGAGCAAGTGTAGTTGGTAGGGGGGGGTGCCTACTACTACTACTACTACTACTACTACTACTACTACTACTACTACTACTACTACTACTACTCCTGCTGCTGCTACTACTGCTACTACTGTTGCTATTTTGATGCGACCACCACCACAACGACGACAGTACTACTTTTACTTTTGCTCCTACTTCTGCTTCTACCCCTACAGCTTCTTCTACGCTACGACGGCTACTATTACTGCTGCTCCGAGTGCGATTGGCAAGTAATCATAGGGACAGCGACCATGGGTCTGAAATCAATGCAGTACCTGCCGGGCAAGAGCCACCCTCCAAACACCAAAGATGAGAAGATTAATCACGAACAAACATGGTTGATCGCCAGCATCTCCGTTTCGGGTTTAGGGTTCCCATTCAGCATCTCTATCTTGGGTTTGAGGTTAGCCGGCCGAGGCTTTAGAGCGATATCGCGTATTACCCAGCAACACCTTCCCGGGCTTGCAGGTTTTCCACCCGGATTTTGCTTTAGTGTGCTTGGGTGACCCAACATTTTTTCTTTTAGGGGCCAGAGTTGGTCAGTCAGCATTGATCACTTTCCGGGTTGCACCTCGCGGGCTTTCGGGTGTGACAGCGAGCATTATCCGATCTCTTCTTTAGGGTTTGCGCATTCCGATGCAATATACCCGTTTCGGGCATTATATAGGTTTCGGACCCTGTTTCGCTATAATGGGATTGAGGACTTGAGGTACAGGGCTGGTAAGTCTTGGTCAGCTTGTATTTGGATTAGATCAGGCTAGGACCGGCTAAGTTCGGGTGAGTTTTGCTTACGATGGGTTCGGTTAGACCGGATTGCATGCATTAGATCAGATTCCCGTTCGAGCGTTGTAGGTTGCTATATTATCGCACAAGCGTCTGTGACCAGGTTCGAGAGTTTGAGCTATTACATGCGGTACGACGCACAGCGTGATTCCTCCATCGAGCGAGCCGGCATAGAGGTCAACAGCGGCGGAAATGTGAATTGCGTGGACGTGGTTTCATGGACTTGTCATTGGCAGAGCAGGTCCGATTCGTACCAAAATTCGCATCACCCGCAAGCAGCCAAGCAGCAGGAGTAGCATTATAGTAGTTCTGGCGACAGCGCGTCCAACAGCAGCAGCTGAAAGGTCTGCAAGCTAGTACCCTTCTTAGGAGTACACGCATGCATCACCCAACACCAGCATTTACCACTACATATCTGTAAGCCTGTTTGCCTTTTGCCACATGAAGCGGCACTCAACTACAGCCGCATTAACGTCAGTTTCAGGAACAAGCATTTCGACAACAACCCATAAGATGTTGCAGACGGGGCTTCTTCGAGTCAGATTGTTTAGGGCTACGGCGACCACGACTACGACTTCGGCTACGGCTGGCTATGCTACTGCAGATTCTTCTACTACCACCACCACGACACCAGTTCTACTATCACCACTACGATGACTACTGCAACTGCTGCTGCTGCTACTACTACTACTACTACTACTACTACTACTACTACCACTGCCACTGCCACTACCGCTACCACTGCGCCTACCATTACGCATGCCACTACCACTAACACTACCGCTACGGCTACCCCGCATATCACTACCACTACCACTACCACTACGACCACCACGACCGCCACGACCACGACCACTACGACTACCACGACCACGACCACGACCACGATCACGACCACGACCACGACCACAACCATTACCACTACCACTACCACCACTGCCACTGCCACTACCACCACCACTAGGCGCTACCAGCTCAAGCGGCCGCAAAGTGCAGCCGTCGAATCACCAAAGGACAGCATGTGGAAGGCCCAATCATTTGAGATCCAAGCAGATCCCTGATCCTCCAACCACGTCTTCATCATCTTAGATCAGGTTGCATGGGAGTGCTGTCAAACTTGCATTGAGGCTCATCGAGTCTCATTCTTTCTTGCACTCGGTGGTGACACAGGCACGCAAATTTGCAGGCGTCAAAGACGAGCGGGCCCGGTCCCAATTCCGGGGGGAAATATTCACTTGCTAAGCAACTTGCTCTGCTCCTAAGCGTGAGGGTTTCCGTCTTGCCGCACGGCGGGAGAGTTCGAACTGCTTGCAGTTTGAGCGAAAAAGCGCCGATGGCGCAGGGCTTTTCATGTTTCACTTCATGTTCATGAATGGCACAGTTCGCAGAGCAGGTCTTTGGTTTCTTGAATATTCCGGTTTGTCGTTGACACGTTTTGAGCATGTCTACAGATACTCTCCGCTGATGCAGTCCCACCATGCCAAAAGACTGAAAAGGGCTCATGAATCCTTGTTGCGCGAGCGGCAGATCTCTGTAATGCTCTCTAGTCCGCGCCTCTGGTCTTCGGAAGCTGAAATCGGATGGCACTGGCCAATGCTTGTACTTAGTTCTTTATTGCTCACAGACCATGCGCATTTGTTGGCTTCATATTACCAGCTTGGCATGGTCGCATGTGCTTGCTAAGATCAACGAAGGGGAGGTTTGTTTTCTTCCGCTTTAGTTTCCGAGTCAGGGAAAGCCAGCACCTACAGTAAACAGCGAACTTGGAAGTCCCACCAACAACCACAAATCCACAACAACTTGACTTCGTTTTCTACGCTGCAAGTACTTGTGCGTGGGAGCTTTGTTCTGGGGGGGGCGATCTCCTTAAAGTGCAACCTGGTCGTAGTATTTGTCCTCAGAAGCTGTGGAACACTGGCGCTCTGACGTGCGTCATACACCTTTGTTTGCTTGCCTCTTTTACTCGCAACGAGAAGACCATGGCGAGCCAGAAGCTGGGCAACCAGTGCAAGGCCTTAGGCCTTTTATTGCCGGATTGCGAATGTACGGCATCCAAGTATCCAAGCCGGACCTGTCCGGTCTCTGACTGGCGCACTCAGGATTACATGGGCTTGCAATCGCAGTTGCGAGTCTGGATTTGCCTAGTAGTCCCGTTCGTCGGGTAATGCTCTTTCTGCAAGGCCCAGTAGTCCTGTACGTCGGGTAAGGCCGGACATGCTGTCGCCAAGCTGGTAAACTCTGCCTAGTAGTCCCGTTCGTCGGGTGAGGCAATTCTGAGGCCTGGTAGTCCCGTTTGTCGGGTGATGCCATGCCATAGTGCTGTTGTGCTAGGTTCTCTTTTGAAGCAAAACTTGGTTCTTAGGCGGCAGTCCTAGACCCCGACTGGTGAGGTAGCCTCTTGGTCTAAAACGCCCACTCCACGCCAAAGTACCTTGTTGATGGAATGGCCCTCTGTGGCGGCCGTAACGGTCGTAAGCTTTAGTTTTTTTTTTCCGCTGTTTTCTCTCTGCGTGAAACAAGCACAGCAGCCCAGCAAACCTTGTTTTGCGAACAACTGCACGTGCTGCGTCCTCAGACCGGCGTGCAGGTGCAGTTTTGCGCTCCATGGGCTGAGTCCACGGACCGCCGTGAAGCAAGTCTTGCTCAGCTTTTGGCAGATTGCTGCGAGGCGAGACTGCCAGCTATGGAGCCGTTACTGGCTGCTTTGCTTGGCGGCTTGTGGCAGTGCGGATGCTTACTTCGCGTTTGCATGTTGAACTTATTTGCTGCATGTGCAGCCATAATCAGCTGCTCGAATGCTGTGAGCAGAAGAAATCCTCTTGCACATCAGGTGGGCTCCAAGTTTTCTGTTTGCCATGGCGGAGGATGACAAAACAGATTCGGAGTCCAGTTCGGATGTGGGTGCCTCGTTGAGTCTGGACAGTGATTCTCTTTGGCTGCTCTTGCCGATGCAACTGCGGGCCGCTTTTGGTTCTGGGCATGTTCCTGCTGCAAACATTCTGGCGAACTTCTTTGCTGACCGGGCCGATCTGGAATTGTTTACTTCGGCGCACTGTCCTTCTGATGCTGGAATGAGTCTCCTTCACGCATGCTCTGTTTGGAGCACTTTGTGGGGTGGGCCTCAGAGGAAGCATGTCGAAGTCACAGACGTGGTGCTTTGGTTCCTAGTTCTACCAAATTCGTGGCCGTCACGAGCCTGGTTGCGAAAGCGCTCCGGGAGCCATAGCTGGTAGGCGTTGGCCGCACAGGTTGGCCAAGCGGCTTGCGTCAGCTTCGGGCTTCGTGCACCTCGTCCAAACAAGAGATGGAGAAGCGAGAGCTCCGGCGGTGGCAACTTGAGCTGCGGACTTAGTCAAAGAAGCGGGCCTCCCTGTCGTGGAGCACATGAGGCTCGTGCGCCGTCCTGAGTTCATGTTGTTGGCTGCGTTGGGCGCAGCTCGAGCTTCCACGGTCCGCAAGCACGTGCGGGAGTGGAGAAAGGTTAAGATCAGCTGCTTGGCTTCGAGTGGTAAGGCATGGCCTGAGCACGTGGGTATGCTTCTCGATTATCGGCACGAGCGATATCTGGAACCCTGTGCCCGTACGGTGCCACAAGCGATTCTTTCCAGCTTGTCCCTCCTGGAGAAAGCTGGGGGTGTTGTTCCTGGTGAGCACTTTTCTGCGCTGCCAACAAGGTCAACCAGCTAACCGCTGACTTGGAATCTAAGGCTCCTCCGAAGCGGAAGGCCCCCATGCTACGTGTGTCAGCTTTTGGCGCAATTCCGCGCACCCTGGCTGGATCGAAGCATCTTTTGCGGCTTTTGAAGTGTCCACTCTGGGATGGCAAGCGTTGGAAGCTCTCCGACAACTTTCTCATTGTCGAAGCTGATGTGCTTTCCTTCTGGACGGAACATTCGAAGCGAAATTGGCTTGTTTCTGTTCTAGCTACTCTCGGAGTGCCGCGAGACACGCGTGATTTCGTTGGTCGCTGGCGGGTCATCACCTACTCCTACTACTACTACTACTACGACTACTACTACTACTACGACGACGACGACTACTAGTACTAGTACTGGTACTGGTACTACTACTACTACTACTACTACTACTACTACTACTACTACTAGTACTAGTACTAGTACTAGTACTAGTACTAGTACTAGTACTAGTGCTAGTGCTAGTACTAGTGCTAGTGCTATTACTATTACTATTACTATTACTACTACTACTACTACTACTACTACTACTACTACTACTACTACTACTACTACTACTACTACTACTACTACTATTACTACAACTACTACTACTATTACTACGACGTCGACAGACGACGACGACTACTACTACTACGTCAACGACTACTACGCTGCTACTACGACGACTGCTACTACTACTATCACTGCTACTGCTACTGCTACTGCTACTGCTACTGCTACTGCTACTGCTACTGCTACTGCTACTGCTACTGCTACTGCTACTGCTACCGCTACTGCTACTGCTACCGCTACTGCCACTGCTACTGCTACTGCTACTGCTACTGCTACTACTACTACAACCACTACTACTACTACTACTACTACTACTACTACTACTACTACTACTACTACTACTACTACTACTACTTGTCAAATGCCAGAAGTCGAGACGGATTCCTTTAACGGCAGGTGTCGAAAGGTGTCGAGGAAAGCCCGAAAGCTGAGGCAAGGTTTGCCGAGAGTTTGGAGTTCGGTCGGTGAGGTTAGCCCATCAAAACCGGTCAAGATTGCGTGATTGCCGTGCATTTCTTGCTGAAGGCGGGCACGAAACCGGAAGAAGTATCATCTCCCGAAACCGACCAGGCGCCACAGGAGGCACCGAAGCTGACAAGATTCGCACCAAGTCTTCTTTAGCTTGGCTTAGCGTCTCTCCACAGTCATAGAGGTGATCCCACCCTCGCCGGCAGAAGCCACCGCTGAACTCCTGGTTGCTATGCCTCTGAAAATGGAGGCGGAGCAGGCACCTTGTATGTCTGGCAGCATTTGTTCCAGTCCAGGTAGTGAGGTCAACTGATCATGTCCGAGCCGAGTCAGCAGCTAGACGGTGTTACCGGGAGCTAAAAAGATGCAGTTCTTCAGATCTGCCCAGCCCAGTGCTCTGTGATGACGCCTTCTGCAGAGCCCTGATGAGGCCGAGAGGCTGGCAAAGATCCCACCTCTTTCCGCGGAGGATTGATCGGGGTTTTCGGGCCGGGCTTTAATGGCGTGTGCCCTGCAGATCCCGACATTACAACCAGAATCCCCGCTTCACAACCAGAGCCCCAGCTTGGCAACGGGCAAGCCTTTCCAAAACCGCAACTTTGCAAACGGATGTGTAATTACTTTGACAGGCCTCAACATCTGAAAGCCCCAGCATCACCCCCTTGAGCAACCAGTCAGGTTTGAAAGTGATGTGGTTGCAGTGCGGGCGTTCTTAAGCCAAATCACCTGAGGTGCTAAAACTTAAAAAAAATGAAGATTTTCAATATAGTTCCAAAAGCCGTACTCGCAAAACCGCAAGTCTAGCTGACATAATTATTGCGTGTCCTGCAGAGGAGTCCCGGACCATCCTGAAACGAATCAGGCCGAGTCTGGCACCTTCTCCGACCGGCATCCCTCTGCTGAGCCCTTCTTTCAGTGCAGCCGAGCGGCAGGGAATGCGACCTGACTGCCATCGCCGAAGCTGCGGAAAGAGCCGAGGACCAGCTCTGAACTGTGGAGAAGGTACTGAATCCGCTGTGGAGTTGACCCGCAAGCAGCCACTGCCAAGGACGATGACTCATGCATCCGCTTGATCACCACAGGCACTTTTCAACTGAGCAGCATCTTTCAGGGCAAAGCCAGAGCTGGTTCAACAGAGAGCCGAAGCCAAAAGTCTTTCCAGGCCTGTCTGGTGCGCTTGTACAGCCACTGCGGCGTGGCGCCACCACTGCCTTCGCACTTTTGGCGCAGGTCGCGCGCAGGTCCGGGGCTGCCCAACGTGATCCCAGTCCATGCAGGGCTTTGTAGACCACAGGTCCATGGAGATGGCCGCTGGAGGCCCGGTGGGTCCAAGTGGCTGTTCTTCGATTGCATTTGACGTGGTCCTCTCTGGCCGCATCTCTGCACCAGGAGCACAGCACAAGACTGTGGCGGAGTCGCTGATGAGCTCAGATGGGCTCCAGCCTTTGGTCCAAGCCCAAGTCCAAGGGTCACAACAGCCATCAGCTCCGAAAAATGGTGGATCTCTGCTCGATGTTTGGTGGATGTCGAAGCGACTTGTGCCTGGAGCAATCCTCGGTCCAGGTGGATGCGATCGCCTCGCCGGACATCCGCAAAGCAGGCCTCGCCGCCGAAGCGCAAGGGGCCTAGCAGTGGCTTAGCCTGCACAGAAAAGGGCATCTGCGAGGGCTATCGTGCAAGTTCATGTCGCACTGATACTTCGGGCCAGAAGTGAGCAATTGTCTTTTGAAAAGAGCCTCTCTTGGAAGTCGAGTAATGGACCAGTCTTGTGCAGTCATTACTGTCCGTGAGCAGCTTGGCAATCGGCTCAAACGAGCACGGCAGGCGGCAAGTGCCTGATCAGGATGCCCAACAACCCCCCTCACAGAACGCCACGCAGTCGCCCAAGAACCTTGCGAAGCCTCGATCGTTTTCAGCACCAAGGACACGGAACTTTTATCTGCGCCCCTGTGGCTGTTTGGCCATGGTGGATCGCTTCGATCCGAACCTCCTTGTGTTGGACCTCCTGCGGCGCATTGCCAACTCTCATGCGCAGAGGCCGCCTGCAGCCGGCCCTGGGTGCTTCACGCGCTGCGCGCAGGACAGCGGGGAAACCACACGACATCCAGCACGATGCATGCAACTCGCAGGACATGATTAGTAGACTCAACAGTTTGTTTTCGTTTCTGAAGGAGCTGCAGACGTGGTTTCAGGAGACGGCCCTGGGCTCCTTGCTCCGTCGACTGCTATCTAAAGAGACTTCAGCGGAAGGCGCTGCACAGGTGGGTGAGGAGTCGAGAGAGGGCGGCCGGGAGCCTTCGGCAGAGCCGTCGGCAGAGCCTGGCGCGGAGCACGCCGCCGATCTACCCGAAGCTCCGCCTCCACCAGGCCCAGGCGGCAGAAGTGCGGAGTCGAGAAGCCGGAATGGAAGTCCCAAGAGCGAAGTTCGCGAAGTTCGCGAAGGCGGAGGCGGAGGTCACCCACAAGAAGGTCCTCCTAAGCGGCACAGGGCGGGCTTCCCGTCGCAGGCGCTGCGCCAGCACTTGCGTGAAGGCCTGAAGCAGCTGAAGGTAGACATCGAAGTGATGCTGTTCCTTTCATTTCCCTCTGACAGCCCATTCAGTGATCCGACAGTGGAGAGCCTCTTCCAGTGGCACTACACGCGACGTTCCTGGGTTTGCATGGATTGGTCTGCACTGGCCACCCTTTTGATGCTTTGCTGGGACATCGCCATGAACCCTCCTTATCGAGTTCTGCTAGTGCTTCTTTTCTACACTGCCTTCGGTGCTGGCCTGATAATCCGAAAACTGCTGATGTTCGCCTCACCTTCTGCGCCGGGTGCTTGGCGGGTGTGGCACAATGTTCTCCTTTGCGCGTTTTTCTTTGGCCGATGCGTTATCTGCCAGCCATTGCTCGTTTCCCTCGCCACGGACGGATCTACACAGCTGCAGGCAGTGCAAGTCGAGGCATTTAGTTCCGTTATCGGCCTAGGGATGACGAACATCTCCATGGTTTTCATGCAGCAAATGCAGACCGTGGACACACTTCTATTCTGCTTCGTGAACGGTGCGGTCTTCATCCTCTGGATCATTTTCGTTTTGCAGATGCCTCTGACCGATGCCCTGCACACGGCTTACGTGGGCTCCATCGTGATTACAGCGGTCTGCGTCCGGCAACAGCGAGACCTAGAGGAGCTCGACCGGCGCTCCTTCGACCACCAGCTCCTCAACGCTCGAGGCGCGGACCAACTGAGAGGAGAGCTGAGAGCACCCCTTCTGATTCTTGGCTGTCTTGACGGTGTGCTATGGTTAAATTATGGTGTCTTGTGCCTTGCGCAGGCACATTGGTCCGGTCTGCAGAGCAGCTCTCGCGGCAATCAACAGCCCAGGAGTTCAGCTGGCAGATGCGGATCCTCGAGAACTCCCGCAGCGTAGAGCATCTGAACTTCTAGAGCTCGATCCCACCGCACATGCCTGCAGAACAAAAAGTGTGGCAACCACGGTTGCCCCTTCTGGTTTACGAACCCTTCCTGACCCTGACACTCCTGGCTGCTTCCAGATGGTAGCATAGCCTCGAAGCTGATGTATGACCGCCCTGAAACCAAGACTTGAGTCAACTTGAGTCGAGAGTTTCAATTCCGAAAACCCGCTTTGTGCCCCTCTCCCTCTCGAAGGCTCGGCTACGTTTGCTATCGGCACCCGGTGGTGCAGGCATGGCTGAGCTCGGGCAAACGTTTTTGACACCACTTCACCTTGACCAACACGATCGTCGTCATCGTCGTCGTTCTCCTCCTCCTCGTCGTCCTCCTCCTCCTCCTGTCATGATCTGGCATAACATCCCTCGTCATCGTCATTATCGTCATCATCGTTATTGTCATGGTCATGGTCCGCGTCTTATCGTCATCATTGTGTCCGATAGCCAGCCGACCAGTGTGCGGCTCGAGGCACGTGCCGGCAGAGCTGGAGCAATCAGGCAGAGCGGCTCGTATGGCATGTGTAGCAACCAGCTATACTGTGGTGCAACAAAAACTAACACTACAATGGTCCCCCTCGCGGGCCTCTTGCACACGGCAGGTCACTTGTTCGTCTCCTTGGGCGGCGTGCCGAGGCGTCGACAACCCCTGAAAGATTTGACAGGTAAAATCCAGCCAAGAGAGGTCGCGGCAGCATGCGAGATTTTAACGTCTGGAGCTTTGTCTTTTTAGCCACGATGTGCAGAAACTCAGCGCAGAATGCAGGCATCGAAATCGTGTATGGCGTAGCCTTCACGTCTCCTTGTTTGAGAACGCCAAGCAACGGAAGGCCAGAACGAAAATCCAACCCGGAAGTGCACGCATCAACCCGACCACAGTTTCAAGCCTGTTTCATCTTCTAAATGTTGTGATCACATTGAGTCTTGCATCCATGTTGATGACGATGGCAGTGACGATGACGTCTTTGACATTCTTTGACGACGAGGGGGGCTTGCGAAGGTGAGGCGGAGGAGTACTCTACAAACCGTCTCGCAAAACAAGACCACCTGTCTCACCAATCAATGCTTTAAGCTTCCCGTAATGCAGATGCCAGTGTCTACTGTGCCTTTACTTGCCATTCGACCTGCGGACGCTCTCTACCACCGTCACAAAGCCCATGACTCGGTGGTTACGCCTGGGAAAACGAATGCAAGAAAGCGCTTGCTTTCCGCCCCGGTCCCTTAGGAAACCCTTCCAGTAGAATAAGTATGTCCAGTACAACTTGAGTTGTGCTACTGCAAAGGGAGAACCAGCCAGGATTTCACAGCAAGCCTTTCCGGATTGCAGTGCCGGACCGTGAAGTAACCTCCGCGCGAGGTTTCTACAGGAAGCATTTCCAGATATTACATCATCGTACTATCAACAGGCTGGTGTTTTGGCTTGGCCAAAAAATGTCAGAGAAACGATGGCACACAAGCGGGAAAGGAAACTGTTTGCTGTTTGATGGTGCAGAACAAGCAACAAGTATGAGGGCGTTTCCATATGTTGTAGAAGGTTCAAACCGCAGTGTTCTTTGACTTAACGCAGACACATGCAGTTCGGGTGAACAAGCACAGAGTATGTCGTACACCACGTGACAAAGCACGTTGCTTCGTGGGAGTCTGGCTACCTGTCACGTCCTGGCGAATTCACCGTTCAAGCCAAGAGCCAACCGCACTTCGCGCATAAACACAAGCAGTCAGCCTTTAGTGGTGGAGTTGGTGGGGTGGCGAAGGAGGGGTGGAGGGTGAGGGAGGAGGGTGCTGAGAGTTGACCACACCTGACTTGACTAGTCCTCCCAGTGGTGCCATTGCACCAAAGTGCTAGTGCACTCGAAGGTTGTGACACAAGTTCGTGGTCAGTTAGCTGGTCATCAGACGACGTGCCAAACATCCCTGCAAGACCAAGCCATGCCCATAAGCACAACAGTCCACCGAGCAGCTGACCAAGCAAGCCGAGGCCCAAATTGGAGCCAACATGAGCCAACCCAAGCCCAGCAAGCCATTTTCCTAGCGTACTTTTCATTCCTACTGCAGGTGCCAAGTCTCGACATACCATCGCCAGAATACAAGTGCCTATCCTTTGGCACTAGTGATCTTGAGTGAGTCCATGTCCCACCCTTCCAAGGACGAGACACCGCCTTGTTCCTTTTGCTGCTTTCACACGTTGGCGAAGTGCATCGAGACGCCTTGCGACCTTTGCGCGCCCGAGCTGTCCCGAGGTCACGTTCACCTCCTCTCGCGTGTTTTCGTGCTCCCCTCCTCCGAAGTTCCTGCTCCAGCTCGATAGGTGCTGAGCTTCGATGAGCTGACAGCATCCGAGCCTTCTAACCAGAGCCGGCGGACCTGACAGCCCGCAGCCCGGGAACAGCAGCGTTGAGAAAAAGGAACAGGAAGCAAACAGACGTGGCTAGCCTCGATGCATTACTTGTAAGGAAAGGCACGGCTGTCGAATCACAGACCCGACACCTTCGAGAAACCAAAGGCGCAGGTCACTCGCCACATCGCAACATGTAACTTCTCACGGCCAAGCATCCTTGGAAGCCCTTCGACTGTATGAGAATGCTTCCAAGTATCTTCCAGAAATTCGCTTAGTAATGGCAAGCACATCGTTCCCCAAGTCCTTGCAGGGAGCTGCCAGGGAGGCTGCCTATGCGCTGTGGAACATCCAGGCGGGTTGTGGCTACAGCGAAGTGCCCAGGAAGAATGTCTCAAGAAGTTCCTCTGCAGGTGGGTCAGCGAGATCATGCTGCCACTGCTTTTCGAGAGGGTGCTGCCGCCGTTTGCAGCTCAGACAAGGGCTTGTTCAGTTTGTATGTCACAGCTAGCCTGATTCTATTCCGCTCGAACAGCTCCATCCGAATAAGATTGCCAGAATTCCCATAGCCCTGGTAGATGGCTTTCAACTGCTGCCGGCTCTCGACATGGAACCCACCCCTCTCTTCACATGTTGCCAAGGTTTTGCTGCCAATCCTCTCAGTGGAATACCCAGCATTTTTGCAGGGATGTAGAGAGTCCCGTCGCCGAGTGATTGTATCCTCGCGAATCTCACAAATGTTTACCCACCTGATTCGAGGCCACACTTGCCGATGAGGCTGGAGATTCCTTCAGCAGGCTTTGAGTTCAATCCAGGACCCAGTTGTAGGCAGATGTGACCATCCGGGCAGGTGCTTATCAATGCCTTGGGTGCCTTGACATCCCTGCTGTTGGCCGCAGGCACACGATCACGCACAGTGAGTAGAAAATTGATGCGTTGCTTACACGTTGATCGATTCCCCCCGTCGAGTGCGAGTCTTTCTGCCTCTTCCCGTGTCGATTCCAAGGAGCCCAGGAGGCAATCGGTGCAAACGGCGCTGTAGAGGCCCAGTGATTCAACGGGGAGGATGCCACGTGAGAAGAGAAATCCCCCGCAGGTGCTGTGCGACTACCTCGAGGATGACCATTCCCTTGCCGTGCCTGCCTGAGTTGACAGCTAGTTCTATGACTCACCCAGCAAGCCACCCTCACCTGCAGATCGAGGAGATCTGGGACAAGGCACAGACAGAAGCACACAAAGAATTTCAACAATCAAGGATGATTGCATGGCAAGCGAAGGGTAAAACAACATCGGTAAGCACCTCTTGTCAATAGACATCCTGCCCTCTTATGCGAGTGCCCTCCGCGACAGAGGTGGTTCTCTGTGCAGTGCCGTTGTGCCTTCACTCGATACATCACGAGGTCCGCGAGCGCGCTCTGGCGGCCCTGGCCAATCTGCTCAGCGGACATGGGGAGAACTGCCGGAAGGCCCGTGTCTGTGTCTTCTCAGCAAGCACGTCCGAGTGGGTGTCTGTGTGCGTGGGCAGCAGCATACATGCGGCCAACACGGCCGGCTTCTAACAAAACTCGCCTCAGTAGTTTGAGGATGTCGCCAGGGACGTCTGTTCAAGCACCCGCACTTTACTTACGACGCCTAGTTCTAGCTTGAAGGTTGGCAGGTACTGTGGGTTGTGCTGTGCATCTGAGTGTTTCCTCTTCTGCTCTCACGTGCTGTACTCTGAAGGGATATTTACTTCTTTTCGAGCCTTGTGGCCGTTGTGTCATTATCTCATCTGTCATACTTGTTGGCATTATGGTATTCCTGCTGTATACTTGGTGACGGGTCTGTACGATCACCGTTACAAGATGCCGCGGCGAAGACAATACACTTACACAGAGAAAGATGGAGATGTGCTTTGTTTGTCTGTGTATGTCGGAGGCAGTCTACCGAGCCATGGCCATACCTCGCCTGATGCGCTTCCTGGAGGTGTCTCCCGATGGTGCCTCAGCTGAAGTGCCTTCGCCTTGCACGTGCTGGCATGTGCTGGCCCATGGAAAGGGAGCTCTGACTCTGCTTTGAACCCATACGGGACAACTGAAGGAATGCCAGGGTGTTGTCAGGAGTTGGTTTTCGGTGGTGGGGAGCTACAAAGTATCTAGCGGACATCGGCCAGAGAGGCGACGAGAACCGCCTTTGGTTTTTGCTTCAGACACTCTGGTGATGAGCAGCAGGGGGTGCCTGGGCATCAGGTGAACCTCCAAGCCTTCTCGGTGCGGAAAACGCAGCAGCCGCCTTGGCCAACATCGTAGCCACCACCGGGCCGATGGCCGGGTCGCCCAGCAGAGTCACATCTGAGCTTTGGCCGGGCTTTCCACAGCCTCCCCAAACACACCAGGGGCTCGATAAGGTCACCAAGCCCGATGAAAGATCTTCCCTGCACTTCCAAAACCTCTGCAAGCCCGACAAAGCCGGGTAACGGTATTCCCCTCACTGTTTTGCAAGCCTGTTCAAGTCTCCCCGGCATCCACCACCACTATGGAACCACGTCCCTGAATTTGCCTCTATGTGTGAAGTAGAGAGGGCTATATATTGCACTCGGTTGGAGGTTTGTGGCCAAGTTGCCGAAGTCGAAGTGTCCTAAACGGCTAACGGCTGGTTTCTCCGCCCTGGTTTCTGCAACCCCAGCTTCCCCAGCTTGCCGAGCAGCTGAGTAGACACTGACAGCCACCACAGCCAGTCAAGGCTGCTCAGACGGCGGTGGACGCAGGGATCCTGCAGGTTCGGGGGCCGGCCCACGTTGTCGTCATGATGCTCCATGCCGTTTGTTCTTTCAAGCGCTGCCATGCATAGATCATTCAAAAGCACAGCTTGGAGTTTGGAACTCTGCCTCCGTATGTACTTGTGAGGTGGGAGTGCGTCGGAGACGTACAAAAATCATAGCGAGTGTGTCGGCGGGCTGATCACGAAAGGTAGCTTCTTGGGAGCTTAAGGGAGTTGTTATGTTGTTTGCACAGTCTACATATTTACTATTGCTTCAAAAGAGAGTGTAGGGGGCCCTTGCTCCTTGCTCCCTCAGATTTCAGGGATCCAGGCTCCATTTCGAAAGGCTGCTCTCTGGATGAGGCGGGGAGGCGCTCTCCCCCGCCCTTCAAGGGGTCAGTACAACAGACAGCAGAGCTTCCATCATTCGGCAGCATAGAAGCAGCATGTATCTGCACAACTGAAGACAACCGCAATGCCTACGACTGTTTCTACTTCTGGGCATGCTACTTTTCCGACTCGTTGTTGACCAACACAATCATCGACGAGCTGTAGGAGGGTAAGCACACGTTTCCGAGTTGTTATTGTTTCTTGCGTTGAGGAGAACTTTGCAATGTGTCGTTCAGCGCTGGCTGACAACACATACGAACTCGATGTCTCTACCAAATGACTGGATAGCCGCTTGCCCGTTAGTTGGCAACAGCATGCAAGGAGCACTCCGTCGCATTCGCTTAGCATCAGATCGCACGTGCAAGACGCTTCCGTCTCCCTTCCGTCATGACCAGGTCGTTTCGCAGCTGCTCCAATCCTCCGCGCCCCTCCCAGCTAAGTTGTTGAAGTTCCAGCGGCCTGTCAAGCCAAGCCGCAAGTAGTCTATCTTAGAGGTCAAGTATCATCGACACCGTTTTGAATCATCCTGCAGCACTCTACTCATCCGACACATCTCAGGCTCGGCCGGCGCAGGCGGGGCCCCGAACTGTGGAAAATCACGGACCGCACGGAACAGAGCAAGGGCAATTCTGTTAGAAAATGAAGGCCGAGCCCGATCGTTCAGCGCCGCATTCAGCCGAGGCTTTTGGCTTGTTGGCCAACTTAAGTTGGCAGCTGCCGGAGTTGGGAGAGAATGTCTACCAGATGATCCTTGACTGCCCTTGACTGCGCTGCATCATCCCAACGCCCCGCATAAGCTGTAGCTGTCGCGACGGTGAACTGCAGGGTTTCCAGGTCCAGCCCGGAATGGTTGGGTGTCGTGGGTCGTGCCACTTCTTACGTAGTGCGGAGAATTGTCGTCTGGGAGCCCTCTTGCCCAACGTCGCAGCATTTTGTTTATTCAACCGGCATCAATCTGCTTCAGTGTCTTAATACTCTGTACGGGCCTTGCGTGTGTCAAGTAATTTGGGTCGCATCGGTTTTGCTGCAAGACGGTGAGGTAGCGTTTTTTGACATCCCAGGACTCCTATCCAGCGAGTGGTGCGCGAGCCTGGATTGGGGAGCGTCTTCCAGCGAGTCAGAAAGTTTCAAGTGTCTGGCAGGTGGACGTGCTGAAGCCACATGAAGACCAGCCTCCAAGGTTGGAGGGCAAATGGCCAGATCGCAAGTGCCGACTTTGGCACTCATTTCATGAAGCCAGGGGCCGCCTCGCCGCATTGGCCCTGGCCGCGAATCTCGCATCCCTGGGCCCTGCGAAAGCCAGGCATTGACGAATCGCAGCATAGCACCGCGTCCCTTGTACCAATAGCGTTGTTTGGCTAGCAAACCATCATTTTGACGTACTGCTAGGTTAGACGGAACGTGCGGCTCCGTTCGTGTCTAGGTGTTCGGTTTTTCGATTTTGACTTACACGCTTCCCTCTGCTTAGAGCAGTTTGAGAGTTTTTGTTGGAAGCTTTTCGTAAGGGCGAAGCAGATTCATGAGTCTGAGTTGTGCCTTGCGAAAGAGTTCAGCCTTAGCTCGCGACCCCGAGCGAGAGCTCGAATGTTCAGGCTGCTCAGAGCTGGTCTGCTGAAGCCTATGGTGACAGTCATCGAGAGCTCTGGAGACCCGGCCCGGACCTTTTGACCAGAAGAACAGCAGTAGATACAGTAAGGCTTATTGTTATCGCGGCCGAAATTGCTACAAGGCCTTGAAAGACATGGCCGGGGTGGGCCTTGCCAACATTCTGGAAGACAGCCCAGAGAGCGTTGCCAAGGCTGGGAGAAGGGCAACTATATGCAACTATTCACATGATGGCAAAGGGACAGCATCTTTCTGTGACAGAGAGACATGTGCCTTGGGCGCGATTTTCAGGTCTTTCTCGAGATCCCAGACCTGCCGAGGAGGAGGGGTTTCAAGCAGATGGCTAGGCTGTGATATGGCTTTGCTGTGATGCTCGAGATCTCGAACGCTTTCTTTCCTCAGCATCCGCCCGAGGCCTGATGTATGCCTCAACTCGTTGGCACCATGCAGGCTCGCTTTTCTGCTTACGAACAAGAAGCAGCCGCTGGAGACCAGCACCAGCCACACACTAAGTCGGGAGTCAGGCAGAAAGGCAGGAAAGGGAACGAGCCCCAAGCGGTGCAGACTCGGCAATAAGTCTTTGAATTGTTGATCGCTTGGCTCGAGGACGGCACCTGATGCGAGCGATCGCGTTACTCGCTTCGCGAGAGGCAGCGACCGGCGGTGTCATGCCGCTTCGCCCCGCCGCCTCGTCGCCAGGCTTCGCGCGTCTCGGTGAAGGAGTCTGGCGCTCCGGAGGCTCGGACTCTGGAAGTGGCACCGCCCTTTGCAGGTTGTAGACGAGAGATGAGGAGAGACGAGACAAGAGTCCTTGGTTCTAATTCTTGATGAACAAGTCCACGTGGGTGTACTTCGAGGGGGTTATGGCATTTCGACGTGTTCTGTCTGAGTGTGAAACTTCATCCGACACGGGAACAAATATTTTTGGCCGTACCTGCTGCGAACAGCTCGAAGATGCCAAGACTGCTTCTGGTTTTGGGATTACTTTTTGGGACTGGCCTTTTGGCCTCACCAAGACCGTTTCACTCGACAAGACGATGCGCCTACTTTAGGCACAAGAGTTGTCGTGACCAACTCTCCGCCCGCCGAGACGAGCCGCTTAAGTAGAAGAGATCACTCCTTTTCGAATGTGTGGTGGTTGGGTTTAGGGTTTGCTGCCCGGCCCTTCTTGTTGGGCTTGCTTGCCACCGGTGATTCGCAAAGGTTTGTGGTCTGCCAAATCAAGTTGACCTTGTTGACATGTCCCACCGAAATTCATGGCTTAGGGTTTGGCTGCCCCCTTCACCACTGGTTTGAGAGATCCGCCTTGGTTTGGGGTTAACTGTCGATGGCCGCCGGCTCGTTTGAGTTTTGAATTTGGCATTTCGCGCTGGCTTCGCCTATCTTCGGCAAAGGGTGTAGCCCCCAAAGAACATACACAGACATCCGCTCCAGCTGCTTTTCTGGCAATAGGATACGATAGAAAACTGAAGCAGTGATGGGGGTGGGATTCGCTTCCTGTCGCTCGTTTCAGGGTTAAGGTGCAGGTACCTAGCTTTTGGGTGGTGATGGTGGTTTCCGGACTTGGGCTCATTGGAAACTGTCCGTTTTCCGACGTGATTCTGGAGATGTTTTTCCATCAACTGAAGTAGTCTGGCAGGCGCTTCTGGCATTGATGGCGGCGGTCCAAGACAGATGGTCGCACGACCTGCTCAGCGTAGCCTTTACAGGACATTCCCCTTTCTTGGCTGACAAGGACCAGAGTGGCCTCGTAAGGAGCTTGGACTGTGCTGAACAGCAGAAGAGATGCTCACAAAAGCTCGGCACCTCGAAGCTCCGATTTGAGGCGAGGGAGGCTTCCCGGGGCCTTTTAAACCTCGCGCCTGTGGCAAAAGACCGTCGCTTGGCAGTGCAGCGTTTGAGGTCAGAGTCTCGGCAGTTAGAGGGCGAAGGAAGTCCGCCCGTTGCTCAGGCGACAAGTTGCTCAAAAAGGGCATTTTGCCGAAGCTGGTTGGCTCCCCAGGCCATGATCATGGTCTGATGCTTTGCTTCTGCATGGGTGGCAGGTGAAAATCAGAGTTCAGCAGAGCCTCCGTTTCAGGTGCAAGCATGCGACTCTGGTTTCCGCTTCATCTGCTGTACTTACAGTTTCAGCAAGACAGGCCCTACAAGTACCATGTTACCGTCGACTTGACACTCCAGAAACCAAAGCAAACTGGGGAGACGCTCCGGCCTCGACCTCCTGAGGTCACACTGCTCCGCTCTCCTGACGCCAGGGATGTGGCTGCTGGTGCCTTGGCGCCGGGACCCCGGAAGTCAAGCGTAGTAAAGCAATTAAAGCACGGCACTCGGCAAGCGCGCGGACCTTGCGTCGTTAAGGGGGTTCAACGAGTGTTGTGAAAATGCAGGACTTCCCCAAGTCGAGTCTTGAAGAATGATGCAAATGGAAACATGCGGACATATGGGTGAATTCTGAATCTCAAGTTTTGGGATAACCCTCAAGGACAAGGATAGGCCACGGCACCTTGCTGCTCGAAGCTCCGAACCCACATCCTTATTTGGGAGCATCTGCCAGGGCAATCACAAGTCACTAGAGAAAACAGAATGCACCTAATGCACCATTAAGCGGGTCGTGAACGCATATTACACATCATCTCGCGCAGAAAATAGATTCAAGGTTTGAGTTATCTGAGTTATCTGGATATTTGTCCGTGTATTACAGATCTTGCATCTTCCAGATTCGGTAGTACTCCAAAGCGACGGCAGTCAAGGGACAGAAATAGATGGGCCAAGATCTGGCTGGTCCCTGTCACGCATTGTTGTTCGCCTTTTCAATTTCCTACTTCTTGTTGATGTGTTCCTCTCGAGCACTGTAAACCTCTGGATCGACATGGACACGTGGAGTGAGCAGGGATCGACTGAATCAAAGGCACCACGCAGCTGTTGCCATGTCGGGCGTACTCGTACGAGTGCGAGTGTGACCGAGGAATTTAACCGCCGGCTCCAAGGCGGCAGCAGTGGAAGCCGCGCGGCTCGGTGCCCTCAGTGCCCTGGCGACGATGGTGCAGAGACTGCTCTGGAACAGAGGTTTGTAGAATCGTAGAACCATTGTCGACATTCTGTGCGACAGAGACCTGTTTTGGAGACGATTACATGAGAGGGCACAAGTGTTGAGATGCTGGGCAAGAGCAACTAAGTGGCACTTAGCAGACTTACCACAGCAAGGTAGAAAGGCGCACACCTTCAATTTAGATCTGACTGCCTTGGTCTCGCAAGGCCTACTCGCGCCGCAGCTGAAGCAGGTGCCTGTATCTGCGAGGGTTTTCTCTCCCAGCAAGTACAGGTAAACTGTGCTGAGGTTTCCTGCGATGTTCATGACGTCACATTCGCATGTCCGTCTGGCCCCACAGGCATGCGAACCGCAAGACGAGAACATGATATACGAGGCCACTGACACTGATGCCAATAATTTCGATTAGAGCTCTTGTGAGGAGCGGCATTCGAAACACCAACTCCCAACACTTCTGTTGTAGTCTGGAGCGCTGTGTGCTTCGACTGGGCTAGGTTGGTCATCCCTGACTTGTTCGTATGTATCCTCGATGGCACACGGGCTCCTTTCAGGGCTTGCTTGGCACAGGAATTTTGCAGGCGAAGTTCAGTCCAAAGTGAAATGACGCCATGATCCTGCCCCTCGTGCATGGCCTGAAGATGGTGAGTCATTGCTTCTGCAAATAAAAAGTCATGGCGAAGCTGCAACTTCCCCTTGACCGTTCATCTGCTTCGAGCAGGTCCTGGGCTTCGCTGAAAATGATGCCCCTGTCTGGGTCGCATGGCTGCAGTGGGCCTGACGAAGCCCAAGGCCATAAGCATTCTCGAAATTCGGATCGCATCGCAGATCCTGGCGGCCATTGCGCACATAGTGGACCTCGTAGACACTCCTGGAGCGCGCCGGGATGCAGGACACGGGCATGCACGGGTCCTCGTGCGTGCTTGCAGGAAACTGTGTCTGTAAGTGTGAGCCTGTCGGCGCGAGGTGCAGCTGTTCCATGCATGTGCCTGTGCGGAGCCTACCTTGGTCCTTGGTAGCACGGGACAGAAGGATCATTTTAGGGCATGACCTGTTCCGAAACAACGGTCGGTGGTCGAAGGTGCGGTTTTCACCATTCCCTAGGCTGACTTGCCAGGGTGAGGGCAGCGTGAAGGACAGCCGTCCGAGTCGATGAAGTTCGGTGCATCTCACGGACACATGGTATCGTCACTTGCAACTTGTACTTCGTCGCTGCAGTTCAAGCCTCAGCCCTCCGTCTGCCCAGCCCTTCCCATGTCGCGACAGGAGCTCGGTATCTTCGCTTTGGGTGCAATGGTGTGAAGCCCGGGTGCAGGGGTGGCAAACGGAATAAGCAGGGTCTGTGATGCCGAAGCTTCCCGTGACACACGCTGTGCTGGATGCCAGTGCCGTGACGCCTGCATCGGACAATGCTTCATCAGCTTCATAAGCCCAAAAGGCGAAGAGCCCGGAACTGCTGCGCCCTGCCGTGGCTGACTGGCCAGGGCTTCGCGAGGCAAGGGGTGTTTGGACTCAAGCATGACTTGTCTCACTAGATGTGTTCACTGGCCACAGGCCTGTGCGGCGATGTCCGTGTCACCGCTGCTGGACCGTGCCAAGCTGGTGCAGCGCTGCATACCAGCCTACTAGATCGCAGCGGCAAGAAAAGGTTTTGTATGGAATGCTTTGGAAAGCCAGGAGCAGCTGGTGAAGCCAGGAAATGTGTTTGCGTGTCAAAAGCCGAATGAGTTGTCGCACTGGCACCTGCCATTGGCGATCATTCCTAAACGCGAGAAGATGGATGCAGTTTCTGGCTGAGATCATGCCACGCTTTTCAAGATGCAGCATCGTTTTGCTTGTGATCTACATACCTGCTGGCTGCTGAAGGGAGCCAGGGACAGGGACATGGATCAGCCGACCTGAAATTAGACTCTAGACCACAACGTATACGTTGTCGCAGCTGTCCCGTTTAAGCATACGATGGAAACCCATGGCGACTCTGACAAGCAACGACGAGCAGGCTGCCTGATCCCACGCATTTGACTGGCAAACATACGCTATTTGTCAGCGTGCTGGCCCAGGCTGTGTGTGGCGGTGAAGCCACTGCAGAGGACGACAGCCAATAGCATAAGTCTCAAAGAGCTGCTCAGCCGATTTGCAGCTGAGGGTTCAGGTATTCTCGGCATGGAGGCAGGAGCTTGAGCCAACTACAACAACAACCGCACAGTGTTTTTTGGACCACAGGCCAAAGCCAGCATGTCCATAGATTTTCAGAGATTATGCAGGACTTTGCGGAAGGAGAGGGCGGGAACGATTTCGTTGTCTCCAACAAGTCTCGGCCTTGTAACCGTTCAAGTAGTACTCTACTCCCCCTTGCCGCTACGAGAGACGGACGCTGGTCCAAGGCGGGACTTCTTCCATGAAGTTGCAGAAGTACGGGAGGCCAGAATGCTGCGCACGGGATGAAAGTTGGTGTTTTCGGGTGGCTGCTCTTCGGACTTGGGGTTGGTCGGCCGACTTGCCAGCAGCGCTGACAAGCGCCTTCCTGAGAAGGGATTTGGGGCCCAGGCAGTGCCCGCGCCGGTGACCGAGATCGCATGTGGAAGGGCCTCTTTTGCCTTGGTTCTGTGTTCTTCCTCCGGCGGGACCTTGACCGACCCCATCTTGATATGAAATTTGTAACACCCGGTCAAAGATTCTGACTCTCTGCGCGGATCTGATTCTGAAGCCTTGCAGGCCTTGAAAAAGGCAGTGCAGCCGGATCTTCCGCCCGAGCCACGGCTTTTGTGCAGTTTCCCTGCATGCAGGGCACGTTTTCTGGGCTGCGCGCCAGGTCTGCAAGCTGCCGCGAGACCTGTGAGCGGATCGGACAGATCTGGGGCCAGTACCAGGAGAAATCAGCCCACTGGATCCGCGTGAGATGGAGAAATTGGGGCTCGGAGCCGCTCTGACAGGAACAGCCCGGATTGCTGGATCCCTTTCTCGAGGCCTGAAGTCTAGTGCCAGAAGGGACATCCTCTGGGCCCTGCAGTGTTTGAGAAGGGGTAAATCGAAGTCTCAGCTCTGGGCGGCCTGGGAGTTCAGCCTTTTGACTCTCTTGCACGGAAGTGGTCGTTTCTTCCAGCAGGAGATGGTGGAACCTCTCATGGGCGCCATAGCTGCAGTCGGCGGCCAAGATGAAACGTCTTTCACATGTTCCGCTATCTCACGGCGTAGCAATGCACTCAGGCGGTGCACAAGTCACCTCGCAACGCGACCAGCGCTCTGCCCAATCTACATCTGCTCAGTGCAGAGCTCAGAGTCCTTTGTCTCGAAGCGGTCAGCTTGCAAGTGAAATGAAACGGCCGTTCAGGCCTTGTTGCTTTGTTTTGCCATCATGATCTCATGAAGGTTCCCTGCTGTACCTGCTCACTACAGCCTGGGGCCTTGTTGCAGAATCACATGCGAGGCCTGTACAGAGGTGCGTGATGTGGCCGACCGTGACCATGAGACTTCCGTAATAACGGGGCTCAGGTGCGGGGCTACAAGACAGTCTCCAGATTCTTCCCTCACGAGGCTGCGAACATGAACATGCCGGGAGATAGACAGGTGCTGAGTGTAGTCGACGGAGTCAGGTTGTTGGCCTGGTCGTTCACAAGAGTGTCGTTTCGACCCCCCCTCTGCCTTCAAGGCTTTCGAGGAGCAGAGCCCAAAGCACCTGACAGGCTGCCGACCTGGAGCCGTGCCTGGAAGCTGCAGAGGACTTTGATGCAGCGACTTGCAGCTCTGAAGGCGACGTGAACGTGCTTGGATTTTTGGTTGGTCCCAGGAGGAGGCCCGTACAGGGCAGAACGAGACTTGGCCGAAGCCTCTGCGAAAAGACCTCCAGAGCCTGACAGACTTCCATTCCGCAGCAGCGCAACCGTGAATCCTATTGCAGCAAGGTCGACGCTGTACTGCCTCACGCTGTGGATTGGACCTCAGCTCCCAGTCCTGCCTAGTCTGTCTATGCATACTCTTGGAAAGAAGATGTCACTTGCTGGGAATCAGGCATTCCGGCATTCCTTTTCTAGTTTCGGGTTTGCCACGCACCATATCCCACCATCCCTCAGTAAGATTTGCAAGGTTTTCGGTTTTTGGGCAAATGAAGTTTTGAGGTTTTGTCACGCCGTCGTTCTTGTCTGCATCGTGAGTTTGCTACCCATCACCACAAAGATGCTGATTATGTTGTTGCTGGTGCTGATTTCAGGTCTTTTTGTTTTAGCGACAATGACGATCTGCTGTTGGCTCTAGAACCCACAGAACTAAGGCAAATTCAGTTTAGGGCGGGGCCAACAATCTCGTACTCCAAACACAATTCAACTCAAAGACTCGTAAGCTCCAAGCGTTTCTAGTTAAAAACACAACAGTAGCCAAACAAACAGATAAAGAGTAAGAATGAAGTGTAAGTGGCTTAGAGAACGGGTCATAGTAGCTATACTCTGCCCCATCCCCTACGCCAGGGCCCGTAGCTTTCGTATTAAAAGTTTTGCAACTCGCACGAGAAGTCAGAAACATGCTCGCGTCCTTCCAATCGGGCGGGAACGCCTATCTCGTTCATCTCCATGCAGCTGGTGTGTTCGAGCCACCACCGACGGCTTTCATGAGATATCTTGCTAGCAAGTCGCTTGAATCAGTGACGCGACCCGTCCCGACTCAAGGCTGGCGATGGTCCTCCTGACTCCCTTTGACTTAAAGGCTGCTCAGAATTTGTGCATCTTCTCAATTCTATGCCTAAAGATCAGCAGGTTTTCCAGGTACACGTTGCCTGTTCACGATACCGCCGATCCAAGGCCAAGCGGCCAGGCTCAAGATAGTCCTAGCGCCCAGGGATTCTGTTTGTTTGTTTGCCAGAAGCACTCCTGCACTGTGTTGACAAACGAAGCAGCCAAGCCTACAAAACCGGAGGTGATCGACTCTGGCGGGGTGGAGCGCTCATCTGCTCAGTTGACTTGCTATCGTGTACCAACTACAGCTGTTTCGAGAAAGAGCGGTGCAACACGTCAAAGTCAGATTCCAGACTCGTGCTGCTGCAGCCGCTTTCGGAGTTAGCACACCTTGCCTTGCCGCACCTGCCCCCAAGCTTTGCTGTGCAGCAAATGGTGGAACCCCAGGCACAGTGCACAGCATTGGCATAAGCATGTAGCCCGGAACAGTCTCATGGCTGCCATAACCATGGCGGGGTCCTCACTTTGCCCTGTTCAGGTGATGAACAACTGGCTGGCACCACCAATGCCACCAGCTGTTCTGGGCTGCGCTGGCGGTGGCTACATGCTTCCGCAGAATCCGCCAGGTCTGGCAACATACATGAGCATGGCCAACATGGCCCCGGAGCTCACCCAGGCGGGGTTGATAGTCCAGGGGTGTCTGTTCTGCCACTCTGTTGGGTGGGTCATGATTTCAGTTCAGCTTTTCGGTATAGTAGGGTCTTGTGGAACGTTTCATTACTGACCGTGGAAGAAGTGCCAACTGGATCGCCAGGTGAAGGTAGCTTCCATTCCCGCGAAGATGGCAGCGAATGCATCACCGTGGACAGGCGTCAGTGCCGGCAGCCATGGACATCCGGAAATGTGTCATCGGCCGTGCGTCTATATGTTCAAGTCCGGCTTTTGCCATTTGGGTTCATTTTGCGACCACTGCCACCTGCGCCACGAGGGGCCGTCCCTGCTAAAGCTTGACAAGAAGCAGCGTAGCAAGTTGAAGGAACTATCCAGAGAGGATGTCATGGCCTTGCTCTTGCCTCACATACGTCACCGAGTGGCCCTACACGGCCTGGGCCCTCAAACTCTCGAGCTCGTGCAATTCCTGGAGGCAGAGAGCATCCCGGATCCAGTGATCTCTGCAGAGCTGCTCCCACGAGAATTGGACCGTCTCAATCGTGTGCTGTCACGACTTCCCTTCTCGGCCTTAGTGCCTTGGCTGCGGTGGCAGCTTCAGCTGAAGGTCCTTTTCACGCCGGCGTGCAGGAGAGAGAGGCAGAGGGAGAGAGAGAGCTCAGGCTCACCCCGAGCAAAGCAAAGCTCAGGTGCGCGCTCGCGCGCGACGTGCCGGACTGGACGCTCCCCGTGCGTCCCACCTCGTAGAGAGAGAGATAGCGAGAGTGAGAGAGAGATAGTTAGGGTTTAGGGTTTAATTGCTGTTACCCTCCACCTGAAGCCTGGGTCTCACCAGCACGGCCGAGAGCTGGCAAGGACCCGTCCTCGAGAGGACCAAGAACTCGGCTGCACGCGAAGGGGGTCATCCCTTGCGGGCGCCAGCAAGCAAGCAAGAGAGATAGGGAGGGAGAGAGACATCGAGAGGGGGGAGTAGGAAGAAGAGGGGAGGGGGAGAGGGGGCATATCCTGCCGAGGTCAAGATCTTTCCGCACAGCGCTCCGGAGAAGGTTATCGAGTTGTTCGAGAGGCAATCGACCCCGGTATGCTGCCCTGCCGTGTAGTTTGGTCAAATCGGCAGGTAGTCCTGGCTCGACCTGCGCAGGTCGCGTTTTCAGCTTGGAGCCCAACCGATTGCCATCACGAGCTCGGGCGGAGGGCTACGTGTGCGTTTGTAGAACGCAGGCCTCAGCAACACTGCTAAAAAGCTCCTGTCTGCCCTGAGTCGATTTCTGGAACCGAGACGAGTCCACGGCCGGCTCGGCTTCTAGCAGTGGAGCTGGAAATGGTGCGAATAGCACCCGATGAGGCGTATTGCCTCGGCAAGGCCCTTGATGGCAGGAATGCCCTCATGTGACCCAGTGTTGTGCAGTCTTTTCATCGTCGCAGTGAATGCCGTGTGGGTGTGATGCCACAATGAGGCGCAAATCTTTGGACTGTCGCACCTGTCTGTTGTCAGGGAACGTTCACGACGGAAACCCCCAAGCAGAGCAAGACAGATTTGCAAAAGTCGCCGTTGCAAGCATGAATCCCAATCTAAGGCCTTCCGTCATGCAAGGTCTTCTGACTATGCACGGGTAAATTGCTTGACAACCACTACTACCGCCACCAATACCAGTGACTCTGCCATTGAAATTTCCATTACCATGAGCGGCAGCAGCAACACCAGCAACACCAGCACCACCGTCAGCAGCACAGCCACCACCTCCACCACCAAGAACTCTTTGCTCCAACTACGAAGAAGAAACTGAGGCGACCTCTCCGAAGCCCTAAGCTCCTGGTTGTCCGAACCCTGGAGAGGCAAGATCAATCCAGAAATTGTAGCGCCTCCGATTGTGGTAAGTGCCCGCTCAGCAATTCACTGTGTCCGTCAATTGCCTCGGGCCGGCGGGCTCTGCTTGTTTCCGCTTCGAGCTCGCTCGGGATGTAGTATAGGTGCCCCTGCGCCAGCTTTCCATGCACGGGCTTGGACACGTAGGGCCAAGATATGAAGTTGCGATCCAAAAGACGAGCACACGAGCATCAAATTCCTTGAGTATAGTAGGCAGGGACCAAGGAGAGCTATGGGAGGCTATTGTATCGGCGAAGTCTGTCCTTGCGAGTGCGTCAGATGTGTTCGTCTGTGCACATGGAAAGTAGCCCACATGTGGCGCTGTTTCAGAATCGCAACACCGTGATGCTGGCCTTCCATCCTCAATGCCACGTACGGTTTAGTGGGCAGCTGACGTTAGAGGGTTGGTTTGGCACAATCTGTGGCCACGTGTGAGGAAGATCTCGGTGTCTTTTTTTAAATGTGCACCTCGGCTCAGCATGCTTGCGAGCCATTCTGAGTAGAAGCAAGTTTGTTGCGCTGGTAAAAGGGCTCTGAGGTTCTCGGTTCGGCTTAGGTTCAGTCTTAAACTCAAGACTTTAGTGGATACGTGATCCGTCCTCCATTGGCAAGTGCTTTGCATGCCGAGCTGTGAACGGCTGTAGGCTCTGGGTAGCTCAATTGCAGCTGGCTTGCTGTCATTCCGAGTGCCGGCTTTAGTGACGGATCTTTCAATTTCGCAAACTTGCATAAGTAGGTGATTGCCTGAATTGAAAGTCCTTAAGCTTATTGGCTTATTGGCCTGTGCAGCAATCTGGCACTTGGCATGCATCAGCGGAGAGGCTTTGGGTCTGCCCTCGCCCCAATGGTCATGGCGTTTGAAGCCTACAGCAACAGTCACAGTCAGCCGCACTGCTTGCTGTCTGAACCATGATTTCTGCGGCGCTGCCCAGCATTCACGAGTTTAAAGAGCGCTGGTCAGATCGCACTAGATCGCAAACCAATTTCTTCCGGCCTTTCGCTATGTCTGGGAGCTCACAGATTGCAAATTTGCCGCGGCAATGCCGGTTGTAGTTCTGAAATGTTGTGAACCTACCAAGTCTGGAGCTCTCTTGCCGGTCGCGATTCACAGTACACACTTGTGTTTTGCCTAGTAAGGCTTAGTGACAGCCAACTGTTGTAGGGAGCAAGTTTTGCATGGTTTCCCGGTCGTCGGACAGTTTAGATACTGTAATGAAATCGTGAAGTGCAACTTTTGCCAGCTGGCGACGGGAAGCAGCTGGATGCCTTTGCGTGTTTCAACGAAAGGTTTGGCAAGGACGAAGTGGTGAGCGCTACCAGAGCAGGCTGCAACAACTCGTCCTCTGGTCCTCTCGGCTCCGGAAGCCGTTCATGGACTGGACTGGCGCTTGCTCGGAGGGTTTCTTGGAATTCCAAACTCGAGAAATCCGTCAGGCTAAAGGCCTCTACAATTCCGGAGACCTCGACAAGACCAAGTTGTAAGCCTCGGATTCTGTGTGGCTTCGTCTTCGTAAGCCCCAGCAATGTGCAGGAATTTCAACTTGTTTCGGACGGCATGATGCCAAGCAACCAACATTTGGGAGCTGATGTGGAGTCTCTCGTCACAGACACGTCGAGACCACAACATTGATGAGCTGGCGGCTTGCCAGCCGGCCGGCAACGCACGTCAAGCAACGCATTGCAAAGAATGTAGGCAGGTCTACTTGTCCGGACTGCCGGCGGCATCAAGGCAGAGCCCCGGCCCAGAATCTCTATTGTAGCTGTGGTTTGAGATGTGTTGTGAGCGCGAAGTACAAGAAGGAGACCCGCTAGCGTCGCATGCCCACATGTCACATGTGAAGTGTTCAAGTCGTGTTGCACCCCACACAGCTTCTGATATTCTTGAGGCAGAGAGCCTTAGCACTCGGGTTTTCGAACTGGCGCTGGGTGGTCTCCGCAGCACCAGCAGGACGGGGCATTTTTGAGATTGGCAGTCTTGGCAGGGTTCGATCGCCAGGAGATGTTTCGTGAGCCTCAGACATCAAAACTCATGCATCTGCGAAAGTAGGGTCTTGGCACAAATACGATTAGTGAGTTCTTGTCGCAAACCCGTCCGAAACCATCGCGAACAGGTTGCCGCCTGTACAAGAAGTAGTTAGTAACAATAACAGTAATAATAAGAAGACTAATGATAGCAATAACAATAAGAGTAATATCAGAAGGCCGAAAACCAAACCAATCGTTTGTTGATCTCTGCCCTTGAAGTCAGGATACGTGATGCCTCCGCCTGGATGCTGGCGAAGTTCTTTGTACGGAGTGATGTGAGTGACTCCGGATTCCTGCAGCTGGGCGCCCAGTCGAGGGCCGTGTGCCATGGCGGTGCACGAGCCACTCCCCGGCCGGCCGTGTGTGAACATTGCCGTCGAGTTGTCGTAGAACCAACCTGCGTATGGTACAGAAGCGAGTTCAGCAGACCGAGAGGGCTCGTCTCTGCAGCCTGAATCTGCTCAGGTCCTTCGTTACATGGACCAGACAATGCTGGCCCGTCACCGGCGAGCCATGCCCTCAGCAAACAGGCGTCGGGGGCAATTGAGCACTGAATCCCTGTGAAAGGAACTTTGCATCGCCGGACTGTGTGGACAGTCGCTATGTTCCCCTTGTCCCCGCAGCAGTCAGAGGCGATTTGCACAGTGAGCTCTATTCAACTCTTACCGTCATCACGGCACCACAGCTGACCGTAATCCAGCATAGCTACAGGTTCAGGAAGCATGCACGATACTCCCTTCAACGCCTCCGTGCAACCATGCCATGTCGTGGACCAAAGTCCTGACGCCATGACACACTCCAAGCGGCGGCTTCATGATCTGGGGCGCCGGGCTGCAGTTGCCCAAGGTTGGACTCTGGCCTTTGGCTTCAGAGTGTCTTTGGCCTCAGAACCTGTCTCCCTGCGAGGCCCTTCGACAGCTTCTGCATTGCCTGATCCGAACCCGGCGGCGGCAGTTCTTGCTACTTTTGTCGGCCGTGTTGCTCGTCAACTTTCATGTTTGAGCACATAGCAAGGGTGCGAAAAAAGTCGCCTGGCTCTGGTATTTACGGGATTCAAGACGACCTGCAGACTGCCGCGAGGCTGGTCGGCAGGCACTTCTTCCAGCAGCGAGTGCAGAACTTCAAGCCGTCGCTTCTCGTGCCGAGGGCACAGCGACGCGGAGAAGGCACACAGCAACTGTGTAAACTAAGGGATGAAGCTTTGCTGCTAGAAGCTGCGGTGGAATATGCTGCTGTGAGGCAAGAAAGCTTCCGAAGGCGGAAAGAAAGAGGCTCTTTAGCTGCATTTCAGCAATTATCGACACGTCCTTTCTCGTGCTGTCGTGACAGTACGACCCGAAAAGCACATCTCCAAATGGATGTAGGTCTCGACCGAGTCGGGCGATGTTGAGCTTCGAACCGCTTTCTGCTGCGCGGCTGCATATGCCGCGCGTCAGCGCGTGTGTCTTAGGACCTGCAGCTTCTGGCTGGTTTGAGCTGTGGGCACTGGTTGATTTTCAAGTACTGGCAGTGTTAGCAAAGCCAGGAAGCCAGATTTGATGCGGCGCAGGTGCTGTTTTCCGGGCCGCTGGGGAACGCTGTGGCCGAGGTGTCTCTTGAGCCTAGTATTGCTGGAACAGGTTGGGAAGTGTCCTGTATAAGCCCTTGTCATCTTTGCCTTTCGTTCGTTGGTGCATAGTTGCTTATAAGCTAGTAGCAGCTAGTATAGTCGGCAAAGCACATGCCGTATGTCCCGTGAGGCCCGCAGATCTCGGCCAAGGCGCGCTCCGGCCGCGAGTGCAGCTCGGCAGTGATCGAAAGCCGTTGCAAAGTGACAGCTGCAGCCGCTGCAGCAGATGCCACTGTTCTGGAACTTCTGGAACTTCTGTCCTTGCGGGAGGCCACCTTCGCTGCTTCGCAGAACAACGTTTCGCGCAGCTGCGTGCGGTGCCTGGGAGCAGGAAACGGGAACCCTGTCAGTGTCGGTCTAATCGGGACAGTACCAGGCATCGCGGCTTCCGCGTCAAATATTTCCCTCAAGAGTGTCCCCTTTGACGAGTGGGAAGTATTGCCTGGTGTGCATGTTGAAGTAGTGAGTTCATGCGAGCACTGTTGAACTGCTCCACTCAGGACTGGGGGCTCGGCGAGGAGCGCTACTGGGCAAGCTTGGCCAACAGCGGGCTGCGTGGTGGCATCCAGGACGTGTGCTGTTTCTGCAGCCTCTGTGTTTTTCAACTGCACGGAGGGCTGCAAAAACAGTTGGGTATCAACACAATAGCCATGCTGAGTAGGAAGCCTGCTCTTCCGCCGGTCGGTTTCAGTCGGGGGTTGTGATTGCGAGGAGCCCAGTGGGAAGAGTGGAAGCTGGTTGGCTGCATCCAGCTTGCTCAAAGTGTGTGTGTGTGTGTGTGTGTGCCAAAGTGCAGGGAATTAGTTTTTGAACTCCCGATCTCAGCATGGTGTCAGGCCTTTTCTGGATCTCTGGAGATGGGCTTCTGGTCTTGCAGCCTGGTTGGAATGGTCCGTAGATCGTGGCAATTCTGCTAGCCTGAACACGCACACGCATGCGTGCACACCCGAAAAAGACATCCCCGGCCTCGCTTCGAAAAGACCGACTGAGCGAGAACGCCCCCGGGTCCCTTGCACAGTTATCGGCGCGCGGCCACCTCTGAAGGGTGCGCGTGCGCACCGGCGTGCACTCACGAGACTGGCCGGAAGTCGAGGAAGAGCTCTTTTGCGCTTCTTTTGGTGTTCCTTGCACCGAGGAAGACCACGGAAGCCGACGAGCTTCAGAAGTTGCTACAGGGTCTCCCTCGATACGCATCTCGGCCTAGACATGTGGGCATAAGGTGTCTGACAGGTGGGGGTGGAAGCAGAGTTGTCCATTGGGCGCTGTCCCATCGGCAAGGCAGGTAGGTCTTGGATAACATGCATCTGCTGTTCCGTGGCCACTTAATTACTTGGGATCGAGCCGATGGCTCCGGTCATCCTATTTCGATTTTCCAAACTTTATCCATGAGGGGGGGGGAACTGTTCGGGCTGCGCCACGGGTTCTTTCTCGGGATTGTTGAGGGACGAACTCCACCGCGAGGTGCGGACTGTCGGCTTCAACTTTCGTGGGGCTCCGGGGTGCAATGTTCAGACTGCTTTGCAGAATTGGAGCCTGATCAGTGAGCTTGACAAATTTTCGCGCGAAGGGTTTGTGGGACATCTTGACCTTGACTTTTCACACAATGGTGGAGTTGCTGGCAAACTTCGCTGCCTACACTCTTGTGGCACAATGCCTTGAGGAACAGCACTTTGCCACCTACAAGAACTCGCTGCTATGTCGGTTTTTCGGTGCATATGTGCCTGGGCTGGGAAAGTGATATGAAGTGTCGTTCCAAAGTCTCATGGAAACGTTGGAGTGATCTTGCTGCGCAGGAGCTGCTTCTGGGACGTCGGCGGGTTCGTTTGGTGGTAATGAATAACATGTGTCTTGCCGCAGTGGCTGCAACTCTTTGGCTTGAATGCGGTGTCACGATGTCCACCTTCCGTCCAAGTTCTCTGATTTACACGCACTGCATATCGAACCACCGGTTGACCGCAAGAGGTTCGCATGCGCTCTTCAACCCCATGTAGTCTACGATCCTCGGACGGCAACAGTGTTTGTGTGACAGCTTCGCAACTAGGCTCGTGTAGGGAGTGGATTCCGTTTTCACTGTCGAACCTAAGGACCTCAAGGGCACAACGGAAGATCGGTGGGTCAATCCGCGGCCGGGTACTGCTGCGTGGTCCAAATGTCCCTGAAGCAAGAGAGGCAGCGAGGGGATAAACCAGACGAAGGTTCTCAAAGACTTGAACTTCGCGGACAAAACCATTGGAATTCCTGAGACATGGTTGCAAAGCGCTTGCATTCCCTTCTGACGACGGCAGTGTCTGCCATGATCTTCAGCCCGACTCATTTCGGAAGTCTGTCGAGGACTTAAAGCATAAAGCTGCTCTTCTGCACATCCTGAAAAGAGATACGCAGTTTCTGCGGAGCCAGAACGCTACTGGGCTCAGATTGACTCAAACATTATCCTTTTAAGAGCTGTCTGGATTTCGACCTTGCAGAGTTTCTGTGGCTGAGGTGATGGACTATTCTGTTTGCCTTGGAGTGCACTACTGCGAGGAGCCGTGCTCGATGTGCAGTGCCAGTTCCAAGTTGTCGGCTTCCGGAAATATGCTTGCTTTGGCTTGGATGGCTGATGCTCGAAACGTTGTATCGATCGGCCATCGGAGTCTGAGAGTGTTGACGAGGGAAACGGTCGGCACTCGGTAAGACTGCTCGGCAATGGGTAGTGGCCACGGGTCGGTCCGGACGACTCGACTCCAAATCTTTCGTGCCAATTGAGAGCTTGTGGGCATTTGGCGAGGAGAACAGCTATCCCAACTCAGAGCTCATGACGCCCGAGCCGGGCATCTCCTCTGTGCGCCGGTGCGAATCAAGGGTCCGTGAGATCCACAGAGCACTAAGCGGGACGTGTTGTATCAAGGCAGTGAGACAGAAGCAGATCAACAGGTGTCATGCTACGATTGCGATCTGCTTAAGCCCTGTCTGAATTTTCTACCCTGTTCTTGTAACAATGACGGCATAGAGAGAGAGAGAGAGTTCAACACTCTGGCCAACACATCGCCCCACCAAAAGTCATCTGCTACCCAAGTCACTGGCCGTCCTGCGCGGCTATGAGCCAAAGTATCAATGTACGCTGGCACCTAAGCCGCAGCAGTTGGGGCGGGGGGAATCTGGGAAGCCTGCCGTTGCCGGCTAAGATGTCCTGCGAAGGTGAGACGGTGACACTCAAGCTTGTGCCTGTCTTGTAATGTCTCCAGCATTCCAGCTTCGTGCTAGTCGTCACAACGGTTCGGCAGACCCGGCTCCTGTGACGACTTAGGTACGGAATCAGCCTTCGCAGAAGGTAGTTTTCTTCATTGGCATCATCGAGCCTTGGTTTGACCGCTGCGTTTCATCAAGCTGAGCCCTTGCGACGGCTCGGGAAGCTCGTGCTTTGATTCTCAGGACATCTTGCAGCAGTTCACTTGGACGAAGGCACTTGCACACACCGTGAAGCTTCTTGGCTCGAACTTCGGTGCGAGATGCTTCAACGTGATGCTTTGTCCTCGGCATCTCGCGATGCCGCGATGCGGCCTTGAGAAGGTCCCTGAGCCTTGGTTGGGTGCACGAGATCGACACGGCCCCACCAGCTTACTACGCGCGGCGCTTCAAGACGCTCCTCGCCGGCAGTGTAGGGCCAGTACGAGTGGATAGACATCAGGATGCTTGCAGTTTAGAGCATGTCCGAGCTCTCGGGACTGCAAGACGAGGTCTTTCTGTGCGAGACTTGGCCGATGATGAGCTTTCCTGCACAAAGCACAGAACCCGGCACAAAGCAACGGTCAGTGTCTGTGTGGGCCAGGAGACATGGCTCCGTAATCTCATCCAAAGACTACGAGGAAACCTTGGTGATGGGCTACGAGTTTCCAATGTCTCTCTCTCTCTCTCTCTCTCTCTCTCTCTCTCTCTCTCTCTCTCTCTCTCTCTCTCTCTCCATCCAAGTATGCATGCAAAATAACCATGCTGGTAGATGATGGTAGATGTATCCTTGGAAATGACTAGATGCATGCCTGCATGCATCAATATGTGGGTAGATGCATGAAGGTATTTGTATATGTGACGTAGCTTTGCATAAGTATGCATGCATGCATGCATGTGTGTGTGTGGATGTATCACTGCAGTTGAATACACACATGTATGTTCGTATGCAACAGACGCAGCTGACGCCAGCATTTTCGAGGCGATTTCGTTGCTCTGCGCGTTTGTGGAAAGCCCTGCCAGCCTCAAAGGAACTCCAAGACGACAGTGTTGGCCGATTGTCCAGCGTGTTGCCTCGTCTCAAACTCTCAAACGGAGCTTGCAGAGCTAAGAGAGAGAGAGAGAGAGAGAGAGAGAGAGAGAGAGAGAGAGAGAGAGAGAGAGACTGGCGGAGCTGGTAACCCCCGTTGGCTCAGGAAGGTGCAGACGTTCCGTGAACCGGAGGCGCCCAGCCTGCAGAAGTGCCGCAACACATTGCATGTCTTCTACCGACTTGCACTTCTTCGGGCGGTGAGGATCGCGTCACGCGCTTCGTCCGACGTCTGCGCCTGGGCATCGAGAACGGCTCCTCAATTGAAACTATTGCCTTTGAGTCTTTATTGCGACAGAGAGCTTGCACGGCAGAGGGCAGAGACGTTCCATCGTCATTGGTCAGCCTCCGTCGCCTGTACACGGCTCCTTCATTTTCCTTCGATGGTAATCATACAGGCATACTTGGAGAATCTTGGAGATACCCGGCATAGCGACAGTGTTGTTCAGAACGGTCTTCATCTACGGACATCAAATCAGCATTTAGCTTGACGGTTCCGTGCTTTGTTGGCTTGCACGTGCCGACACAGATCATGCATGCACTTGGCACAGTGTTTGGTGCATCAGAACTCGGGGAATGTCTGACTTCGGCGGGAGGAATGATGGCAGGCTGACCTGCCTAATGCTGGGAATGATGTCTGCGGCGCATGCGTGCAGTGACCAGCATGCCCATGGATGCATGAAACAGGATTCTCGCAGGGCACCCACAAGGACTCGTTGAAAAGACACGTGCTTGGCTTGCACAAAATATGTGTCAGCACGCGATGGAGGTCATCACTGCAGGATGAAAGGGCCCGAGAACCTTGCCACAGCTGGGCTACGTCTTCCTGCACGTCTGTCATGAGCCTCGAATTCCTGAGGCACCGTGCCCTGTCCTACCTTTGTCAGCCTTGAGCGGCCGCGGTCAGAGACAAATCCGGTGTCTTGGCAGTGTTTGGATTGGCAGCTTTCCATCAGATGTATCGCCGGCTTTGTGCTCGAAGCTGAAAGACCAGAGATCCTGTCTCCAGTGTCTGCAGATGCTCAGGAGTTTAGTGCCGACCCCACGGCTGATGTGACACTGGACGAGGCTGTGGACTTCGCGGTGAGGCCATGCACGAAAGCCAGCAAGACCAGCTATACCAACAGCACTACATAAATAGTAGCACCGACGGTGACAGTTACAGCGACAGTTGAGGGCGCTCAATTGCTGCGCCGAGCTCCTCAAGTTGGATGCTCTGTTAAGATCAGATACGCAGATTCATGTTGTTGGCATGCACGACAGCACGACAGCTTTTTCGACACTTTCGACTCTCGACAGCTGTTCCGCCCTGCCAGACGCGGTGGGCAACTGCTGGTGGCCCGGCGTGGTCTGCTCCGCAGTCGGGCAGAGGAGGTGGAAGCTTTCCTGGACATGGATCGCCATGCCCTGATCTTTCAGGCGCCTGAACCCATCATGCACATTGCTCCTCCAAACTTCGGAGTCACAGACTCGTTCACATTCTCTAGGAGATGGCACGGCGCCCTTACGCACGCGGCCGCCGCCCCACGTCGCTTGTAGCTTGCTACAAGATCCGGCGTGTGTACCTGACCATTGTCTGCTACAGGCCCGAGGGCTGGCTCATGTCCATGCCCGAGGGTACAGCTCATGCTATCGGTTCCCTGCTGCCCGACATATCTAGGTGAACTTTAGCTTGTAGACAGGGGTTCAGGTCGGACTGGGGCTTCTTGAGCGGATCATGAGACATAGTGACATAGTAACTAAGGTCAAAACGAGACAAGACAGCTGCACTTACATGACACAACCTTGTTTGAAACACCGGCCGGACCACGCAATATTTGTTCAAGAAGTTTCCAGAGTCCCTTGCCAGGCCGCGAGACCTGTACTGCATGGCATGTCGCTCCCACATGAGCCCTGGCATCAAGTCTTGCCACACTTTGAAACTGGAGCGCGTTGCGGATATGAGTATAGGTGTGCGAGATCATGGTTGAGCAGCCACCAGCAAGTTGTATATGCTGGTCACTCATACAGTTTACAATGCTCATGCATCGAATGTGTCAGCTGATGCCTGGAGGATTCAAGCAACGAGAAGAGATTCTAAGCGAGCATCATGTTGAAAGTATCACTCGCATCATGTCGCAGTTTCGCAGAAGCAGTCAGAAAAATCGAGCCGCTTGCTCAAGGAAGATTGAGGCTGAACCCCCGGAGTCGCGGCGCTTTACAGTGGAGGCCGGAGGGAATGTGGTGTTGGCTAGCAGGAAGACCGCTGCACAAAGCTGCTGGTGGCCGCATCGGGGGATGCGGTTAGAGTTGGAGGCGGATGACGAGGAGCCGCTTCGCTTCACAGCGCCGAGCCGGCGTCAGGCCTGATGGCAGCTGCCTGCATGGCCCGGCCTGGCTTCATCTGGCTTCCGCTTTCCGCTGGTCGTCTGCAGGCGAAGCTCTGGGTCACAGCCCTGGAGGCGCTGCTCGCAACTGCTCGCCGCATCGCAGCTAAGTGCTTCCGGCTTCCAGGTGGCCGCCGGCTACGTCGAAGCAAACGTCGAAGACGTCCGAGAAGCACAGGCCGCTGCGCTGGTTCTGGACTCAGACGGGCCGGGGCCAGTGGGGGCGTCTGTTTCAGCTCAGCAGGGCCGACAGAGGTCAGCTCTGCCAGTGGCAGCCCAGATGCAGCCTTCCTCTCCAAGCCGGCCTCAGCAGAGCCCTGCCTGCATACTGGGGCTCTCGCAGGGATCTGCAGCGGCTTCAAGGGAAGGGGTTCCGTGGTCTCGCAAAGGTGCGTGCGGCGCTGCTCGGTTCCTTGGACTTTCTCTTGGAGGACGCATGTCTATAGTGACTAGTGTGGGCTTTCGAAGTGGCGTAACCGGATCGCTGCCTCGGATGAGACGACCTGAGCCTGAGCGCTGCCATGCGCTGCCTTTCGCTCGCAGGAGAAGGAGCTTGCAGTGGTGCTCGGTACAGCGCGGCAGGCGCTCTCGTGCGGCGCGATTGAGGCCTTGCAGGCAGGCTTTGGTGTCAATGCGCTGTCAGGCGAGGCATGGGCTGCTCGAGCCATACCTTCTCGGGCCAGAGGCAGAACCTTTGAGGGAGGAAGTCAGGGATCAATTTTGCACTTCCTGTGCTGCTCCAGACTGCGGGCAGACTGCGAAGACCTGTTCGGGTCTGGCCAGGCAGAACGTCGGTGGCAGAAGAGGCGGCTGAAGTGGATTTTCGGGTTCGTCGCCAGAATGCATCGAAAGCAAAGTTTGCCAGCCAATGGGATCGCATGTGGATGCTGCCTCGACAGCTTAGGTTGATGCCGATGGAACAGGAGCACTGTCCATTGAAAAGATCAACCTGCCTCACAGCTGCAACTGCTCTGGTGTGCAGATTCAGCAGAGACTCAGAGAGACGCTGTGGCTTCTGAATGTTAGCTTCTTAAACCTGCCTCTCGAAGCCAACCCTTCTTCAGATTCATCTTCGCCAAGCCAGAGAGCCTTTGAGAGCAAACGCTTCATACCTAAACCGGGCATGCAGAGATGTACAGATCACGGCCAGTCGGGAGGATGAGATTTTTTGGACTGGTGCTAGCATGCCATACTGCATAGGCAGCTTCAACTCACTGCTTTCGGTGAGTAAGGTTGTGGCATGAGATGAACATCAATGAAAAGGAGGGCCAGCAGGCATGCACAGTTGGTGCACGATTGCCGGAAGACGGGTACGCATGGCCAACTGCAAGAAGCCGACCCTCTCCAGGTCCTCACAGCATTTCTGCGGGAGGTGCCTTGGTACAGCAAGAAGCTAGGACAGCTAGGACCTCGGATTGTGGCGAGGAATGCGAAAGGGGAATTTGCAGCCAGGAGCGGCAGGGCCGGCGTTCCGGCGGCGGTCGCCAGATCGGTGGCGGTCAGGTGCTACGACTCCAGGCGAGTCTCGCCGAGCAGTACTCGTAGCCCGGAGTCCACCCATGACACGACTGCGCATCAGTTGAAGCGGGGCGCAGGATTGGACCAAAATGCTGTCTCTGGTGGACAGCGCCTATGCCTGTGACTCAGGCTTAGTCTTCAAGCAAGTCCCTGCAATAGGGAAGACGACCTGATGCTTCACGGCGCTCCTGTCATCCAAGCTTTGCCCAAGCCCGCTCTGCGAGCATGATTCCGACTTGGCTTGCGGGCCTTGGCCACTGAGTGTGCTGCACATTGTCGGGGATTCGTTGTTTATGAGCTACATCTTCGGTTTGACAGCGGTAAGTCGAAGCCGTCGAAAGGTGAAAGCAGTCCACCGGTGCGTGAGGGATCACCTTCACCTTGGCCGCCCTGCTTCGCGCAGCGCTGGAACGCCCCTCGGCCGCAGGAGAAGCTCCGTCCCAGCCTGTGGCCGACTTACAGTGGGTAGTTCAGGGCGTAGTTTAGGGCAGACGTAAGGCTAGGGTAAGCCAAGCCGAGGAGCAGGACGTGGTAGGGCTTGGGCTAGGGGGAGCGGTGGCACGGCAGTAGCACGCGCAGCAGTCGTAGTAAGGCGACTCTGCTTGCAGCCGTATATCGAGAAGTAGCAACAACAAGGGTATTTCGGCTGAATTTTCGGGTTAGGCGAACTCTTCAACCGGGCTCTTTCCATGATTCTGGATCGTGTTGAGCTTGTCTCAGGAATAGCAAACTAGCCAAGCCTGGGGAGCAGCCGAATAGCAACTCTCAGTGTTCTTGTTCATTCTGGGCTTTTTGCAAAGCACCCGAAAATAGCAGAGACATGGGCATTTTTGTATTGTTCGGATTGGGGATATAGCCATCAGTGGCGCATTTCAGTGGTCTGTTGACTCTGCTGCACGTTTGGCCGAATCCGCCCGGCTTCAAAAGCTGTTTTGGGCTCGGATTGCAGGATGTCGGAGCTCATGGTGCACGGAGTCAACTCAGAGCCGGCGATGGTACAGGCCACGGCCAAAGCCACTCCAGGGCTTTTGCGCGCTCCGGGTGATGTATGCTTCAAGGCTGTTCTTTGTCCAGGTGACTGCGGATGACTTAGCAGGCTTCTTCGTGGGCATCCAGGGTGCTCTTTGGGGCGCAAGAAGCTACGAAGCTCGGAGTGGCGTTTGGGCTGCTGTCGTACCTTGGAGCCGCTCTGAGGTCTGGCCGCCTCCATCGAAGCAACAAGTCGAAAGGCTGATTGCACGTTTCCTGGCTGTACAGGTACTGTCGTGATGTCTTTCGCCCTGTCAAGCACATTCAAAGGGGCTGTTATTGATACAGTAATTGGGTCTGTGATTCGTGGCAAACATGTTGTACCATCTGAGGCCTCCCTGCACCGCTCAGCTCCAAGCAGCACAGCCTCTCTGCAGAAGCGCCGCTGGTCATCTCAGCAGTGCATGTATACTGCAGTACGGCTTGACGAAGATCGTGCTATGTCGGGCTATCTGCCTTGGAAGGCAAGCCCCTGCCCTAGGTTGGTGCAGCTGCTTTGCTCACCAGGCAGGTCAATCTTGATGCAGTGTGAGTTTCCGTCGTTGCGCTGGTGACGGCGGCTCGAATCTTATGCCTCGCAGGGCAGTTCAAGAGTTCAAGACTGTTCAGGCAATGCGCTGGTGGATCCAGCAAAGCGGTCTTTGTTCCAGGACTCTTCAATGCCTCTCTCTGGCAATCTGTATCACGAGGGATCTGTCCTGCTGTCAGGACATGACACAGCCGCTGTCCGCCTACTTCGTCGACACCTCGCACAATACCTACCTGGAGGTGGTCGTTGTAAGCGTGATTTTGCAACTTCGCCTGCCTGCAAGCGAGGGCAACCAGCTGAGCAGCCGCTCCTCCGTGCTCCGCTACGTGGAGGTTCTCCGCACCGGTTGCCGATCCGTGGAGGCCCCTGGGACTGGGAGGTTACATGATTCCAGTCGAAAGTGAGCTTCGATTCTTCGATGCTTGCTGACTGACCAGTGTGGCCGTCGCAGGGGCAGAGTCGCTTCGCGCAGAGACTGTCTGCGAGGTGGACGTTTGGGACGGCAGCAATGGAGAGCCAGTGGTCAAGCACGGGTACACTGTGACCACTGAAGTACCTTGAGCGCATTGAGGCGCCCTGTAAGATGCGGTTCCCCGAAACGGCGGTGTCATCGCTGGCATCTTGAACGTTACGCAGCCCCTAAGGCCTTACCTGGAGGTCGATGCCATGGGTGCAGTAGTTTAAAGTGTGGCTATAAGTCCCCTAACATGGGTTAGAAGTGTAATTGCCTAGCTACCCTGCTTATAACACTACTTCTACACTCCAAGTACACGTTGAGCCCGCTTCTAATGCGATTTCGACTCCCCCCGACGCGATCCTACCAGCATTCTAGCTTGCAGTCCCCGACTCGCGGATTGTAATTGCTTTATCGAAGTCTTCAGCACTGAGATGCCGTGAGACTCGTTTTGAAGTATCACTGCCCCAATGACAGTCAAGCCAGCCTAACTAGCAACTAAGCTCGTGTATAGGTTCCGAAGCTCAGACTCAGGTACTTTTCCAGGATGTCATACAGGCCTCCTTGTCTTTTGTATATGTGCTCTGGCTGGACCACTGCGACGGCCTTGCACTTGCTTTGTGCTTGCAGGCCATCGCAGATCATGCGTGCCTAGGCAAGAAGGGAGCCATGTCAGCATCCTTGGATTCCAATCCTCGGTGCAGCTGTTCTCACGCAGTTGTCAGTGAGCCGGAGTCAGGTTCATTCCCTGCTGTGAGCATGCGATTGGCTGAAGCAGGCAGCGGGAAAGCTTCAGTCAATGGCCAGCTAAGGTTCGTGGCATCAGAGTTCCCCGTCATCATCTCCGTCGCCCCTTTGCTGCAGGTTTTTGACGTATCATTCGAGCATTTTGCGAGCCTGAGCCGTCAGAACAGTTCTACATGACCCAAGCGCGCAGTGCCTGGGGACTTGGGGACCCAGGAGCAGCACTGCTGCGCGGCGCAGCGCATCCGACAGGGGCAGATCATGTCGGAGGTGCTGGGAGACCATCTCTTGAGGCCGACTCGGTCCTCTCAGGGTCATTGGATGGGGACGCAAGTGGGCCGTGAGCGTCCGTAAGCCTTGAGAGGCCACCCTGGGACGAGCAGCACCAGTGCATCGACAGTGCCCAGGCGCCTGGGCAGGGAGCGGAGGGGGTTTCGGCAGGTTTGAGATAGGTATAATACGAGGGATTTCTACGTGCTGTGGCGGGGGGCGGGTTGCAGCACTAAGCTGAATGCACTCCTCCCTCCTCTTCCTCTCCACCAGAGCAGCTTTTTTTCTCGTTTCTTGACGGAAGACTACAGCTGGACACAAAGCTTTCTCTCGATCTGAACATCGCTCTGGGACTGTGCGCGGAAGGACGCGGAAGGGCTGCGGAAGGCGTTGCTCCGCGGAAGGGCGCGGAAGCAACAAACACGTCAAGAGGGGTTGCGCTTGTCCAAAGTCAGGGCAATATGTCAAGAGGGGTTTCTGCTCTTGCGGAAGGGTTCGCTTGCGAAACGGTGCGCGGAAAGGCATGCGGAAGGGACGACATTTAGTGACTCAGAAATGTGCCAACGCTTCGAGGTGCGGAAGGCTGCGGAAGCAGTGGCGGAAGGGTCGTGCGGAAGGGTTTTTTGCGTCCTTGGGATTGAAACAGAATAAAAAACACGGCTCTGGTCCAGAGTTATACCTTCCAATTTCAATGCTCATGTCGAGTCCATGGTCAGAAGTGTTGTTGTCGCCGTCCCTTCAAATCAGCAGTGTAATTTGTGCACGTGTGAAGTAGCATGTTGTGTGTACTGCATTGTGGCACAAGTGCTCTAACAGGAAAAAGGTAGTGACCGAATGGTACAAGCCGTGCTGTTATCACTTGGACGGGTATATACAACAGTGCGTGTGTGCAGTGGTTTACAACAACTATAGGTTATCAGCCGTATAGCCTTCGGCCTGGTCACAACTGGTTGGTTACAATACAATCAATCAGCGCATGAGCGAACCGGAACTTATTCCTGCAAGTATGGATACAGTTACAAGCACCGTGAACCCTTTACAGCCCCCGGTCACGGGTGGCCATACAGGGAGCGGCGCCCCCGGCTTAGTTTTCCCGGCACCAGCCTCAGTCCAACAATTCAACGTCTTCGCACCACAGTATAGTGTTGAAGTACACGTTAACCAGATCAGACTGGAAGTCGGAGAACTAGAGGCTCAGGCAGAAGCAAGACACAGGCAACACATGCTGACCTATCAAGAAGCATCCGCAATTCACACAGCCGACTTGGAGCACAGAGCAGAACGAAACCACCTTGAAGTGGTAGCAGAACTGCAAGCAGCCTTGGCACAGAGCGAGTACAAGGCGGCAAATCGTGAAAGGCTCCTGTTGTCGGAAATGACTTTGAGTCAAGCACATTCCTATGATGAAGATCAAAGGTTGCGCCAAGAGTTAGCGGAACTTCAAAACAGCCGAGTCACAGACGCATTGGATCAACATTTGGCGGAATCACGCTTTGCACAGAACCTCGAAGAACAGGCGAGACGGCACATCGAGAATTCCCAGGAAGTCATGGTTGAACAGTTCCAAGCACACTTTGAGTTGTTTAGGAACAGGCAGAAAGAAGAGTATGAGGCGTCCCTTGCTGTATGTAGGGAACAGAATGAAGAGCTTCAGGACAAGTTGGATTCTGCGGAAACTGCACTAGAGAAGGTCTTGGATCAGTACAATCCAGCTACTCCAAAGAGTCAGCCAATGCCTGCTCCAAGTACCCCTGCAGGTCCTTCTGTCGTCCCCAAAGCTCCTCAAGCGCCCATGTTCTCAATGCCGAACGTTATCCCCCAAGGCGCCAGATGTCTGTTCGAGTCAATGAATCCAGGAGGTTTGAATGCTCAGTCCATTCCGTCTGCAACAGCATCTTCAATCCCCAAGGCAGGACCTTCCCAGGCAGCGCCAGGAACAGCGGCCCCTCCAGCGGCCGATTCCGGCACGCCAGGGACGGATGCTTTCAACACAGGTCTCCTAGAGACCCAAATGGCAATTCTTCAAAGCCTAAGAAACATAAGGGGTGAGAGCAAAACCGATGCTGACAAACCCAAAGTGAAAGAAGCAGAGTCTATCAGCCTTCCGGAGTTTCCAAGTCCAGAGTCGTATCGTTCGTGGAAAACGGCAGCTAGGGAAGCGGTCAGGGCAGCATCAGATTCACCTGATGAGGCGTTTAAATGGGTGATGAAGGCCTACGACAAAGACGCATCGCAGGAATCCCTTCGAGACCCCGAGAAATTCCTCACCCTTGACACGAAACTTCTTGCTGCACTCACCAAAGTCGCTAGGGGAGAACTCTCCCGAGAAATCCTCATTTTTAAGGAGACAGAAGCGGCGAAATTCAGGGCGGTACGAGGACGACAGGTGCTCTACCTCTTCGATCAGTACTTCAAGACGAACGAGGAGGTTGGATCACTGTACTCCGTGGAGGACCTGCTGAAAGTAAGGTTAATCAATGACGACCTTTCAGTGTTCATTAGCAACTGGGAATCTGTCATGTCTGGGCTCAGCCACACACCGGATGAAACGACCCTTAGAGACATTTTCCTTCGTGAACTCAGGCAGTCCAAGAGACTAAAGTACGATCTTGAGATTTACGACAGGGCAGCAGAGGGCACGGATCAGCACACGTACAAGTTTCTTGTGAAGTCACTTAAGGATCTTTTGACCCGAGAGCGCAAACGCAAGAACCGTGACCGCATCGCGAGATCTCACGGAGATAAGTACGGTGCCCCTGCATCAAAGTCTCCGGGCCGAACTTCCAGCCCCTCTTCAAGAGGAGGCCGTGGCAGATCGCAAAGCCCAAGGCCAAGATCACCCAGCAAAGGTAGATCCCAGTCTCCCGGCAAGCCTAGGACACCTAGCCCGAAGGGAGTATGCTACGATTACCTCAAAGGAACTTGCAAGCGAGGCAATAACTGCCCTTTCCTTCACAAGAAGAGATCATTGTCCCCTAAAGGCGACAAACCCAAGAAGAAAATCAACGTGACATGTAAGTTCTGGAAAGAAGGCAACTGCAACAAGGGTGATAAATGTCGGTTCCAGCATAAGGACATAGAGAAGCCCTCCGCTCCAGCACCTAAGTCCGAAGCAGCCCCGGCAGCTCCAAAGCCAGGGTCACCCAGGGCCAACTCTCCTGCTCCGCGCAGAGGGAGAAGTCCCAGGGCTAAGTCAAGTGACAAGGCCCCAAAGACGGCCGCATGCGCCATCGCGTTCGAAAATACAGCGGATCTTGAGATCTCGCCAAAGCTCGCTATGGCAGCGTCACATGACGAGGACTACTGGGAGGTAGACTTCACCGGCAACAAAATCATCCGCCACCACAAGAAGTACCGAACAGATTGGTATGTTCCTGACAATTCATGTCCAGTGAACCCCAAGAAGCTTAGGAGCCAAGCTAAACTCGAGCAGGTTTTGCCGGTCTCCCCTTTTGTGGGAAACAAGATCTACAACTGGAGGAAGACCCCAACCAAAGGACCCGGCAGCACATGGGTAGGTAAGACGATCTTCTACATGCAAGAACTCCCTAAGGTGAGTTTTGATAGCACCGTAGAAATGATTGCCATCGAACCGGAAGGAAAGCAGAGAAAGCATGCTTACCTTCCCAGGGTTTATGATGAAGTCTATCCCACTGTCGAGGCATGTCCACGCTCGAATCCTAAGGATCTGAAAAGGGCTCTTGTGTGGGCAAAGCAGTTTGCCACCATGATCGAATGCATGACTCACGACACGCCTGCGGGATGCGGGTATGAATGCATGGAGGAAGGCTTCCTCTGCGAGGAGTGTGAGCGACTTGCACGTCCGTCATGTGCAGGTCAGGTCCCCGGCTGAGAATTCCTAGCGGATACCGGAAGTGAAGAGGACCTCATCAGCAAGTCGGACTGCAGAACTCACTTCCCCGACGTACCTATTGAACCTGCCTCACGTCCTGTTTCTTTGATCACCGCCAACGGGCCGGTAAAAGGTAACGAAGCCGTTAAGCTAGAGGTCCCTGAAATCAACAAAATCCTCGAATGCTACGTGCTAGATTCAACGCCGCCGGTGTGCTCTGTTGGTAGGAGATGCATGGAT